TCCAGCACATCAGGGCAAAGGCTGTTATAAAGGAAAACTTTTGACTGCCAACTGTCGGGACTTGTGAGTGAGCAAGTGCGGAAATGATGCAAAGGTATGACTCACAACTGTAAGAACTCAGGTCTGCAAGTGCCCCCCCAGAATGGTGCTGTCCCGTTCAAAAGGCAAATGTTTATTTTATTTGCACACACACACAGAGAAAGCAGAGACATCTTTAGCTTTTGATGAAGCTCCAGTAATGAAATGAAAAACAGATGGGGATGAAAATAATAAGAGTCAAAACTTCAGTGCTTTCTCTGTGCTATGAGCTTTACATATATCCAAACCCTATGAAGCAGGCACTGTTACTAGCTTCACTTTGCAGATGAGAAAACAATGATCAGGAACCTGCCCAGTGTCACACGGGATTCAAACTCAGGCGTTCTGCACCCAGAATCCATTTCTAACCACACTGTGAAAAAAACCAGATCTGACAATGAGGAGCCAGTCTAACAAGAGAGGAACAACGGCATTCCCACCCAGGTTGCCTGACTTCTCACTTTTTCAATTTATCCTGTAACACAAGTTAAAGGGTCTACTTTTAGGCACAGCATGACGACAAAAATAGAGCAGTTCGAAGGCCGGCTTTCTGCACAAACCACCGACTCCCAGCTATGCCAGGCTTCCTTCGGAGCACAACACTTAACAATCAAGTTGTTTATTTAAGATTGTTTCCATGGGAACAGTTAGTAAATATACAACTTGCCCCTGAAACCACCTTAACATGTTTAGAAATGTCTAAGAGGAAAGAAATATTTTCAGGTGAATCACTGGTATAACAAAAAAGAGGCTACATCAATTGTCTTAAGAGTTGCTTTTCTATAATCTTTATTGTTTACCAGCCTAAGCACAACATCCTGAAGTATTTTAACACCCAAGAGACCTATGCTGGCCTTAGGCCAGACAAAACGCAGTGACTTCTGCAGGATTTCTGCCAATCAGTCTTGGCCCAGAAGCAATAGCATAAGCACACTCACCTCCAAACTCTACTCTTCAAAAATGAAGACAGCAGGTCTACAGCCTTGACTTATTCATAAGGCTTTCTAATAAAGCTTTCACCTTTTAAAAATTCTATCCTCCAACCAACTGAAGTCTAAGTTTTTGGTGCATTCCACAGGAGAGAAGTTCAAAAAGCAAACGTGTCTAGGGGATCAGTTCTTCCTGCCTTGCCATATTTCAGTTCCATTCGGAAAGTGGAGTCTCAGTTTCTGCTTCCCCACTGGAAAAATGATGGCTGCAGTTCAAAGCCTTGAACTCAATGCTGAGGCTGTGTCATTTTTACAGCTTCCTGACCAGAAAGAGTCACACTCTACTGACTCCAGTTTTTAAAAACTTTACAAATGTACCATTTTATATTTTGAAAACTAGGCATACTCAAGTATTCTAGTTCCAAAGTACAGGCAACTTAAAACTACAGCTAAAAATACTAATATGGGTTTAGTGGGAGAATGAAGTTCAAACACAAGAGCTCAGGGCATCTGTTACCCCGGAACATACAGAAATGGATGCATACAGCAGAATACAGCCATTGTTAACCCCTTGAACACTCCTGATTAGACATCTAGGCTCACTGCCCAAACCATGGCCAGTGACTCCAGGTAAGATGGAGTGAAGCTCAATGCTGCCCACTGGTTTAACACCTTTGGGGGCATTATTTGTATTTAGCTCTGTCATGTACAGTTCAGTTTCACTGGGAAATAGGTGGGTACATGTGAATGACTCCTGGGAAATACATCCCGGAAACTGACCAAAATAGAAAACAGGGCACACACGGTTTCATGTCCCTGCGAGTCTCTGCAGCCAAGCAAAGCGGCCAATCGCTGGTCTTCAACGTAGAGTAGTGGTTCTCACAGTGTGGGACCAACAGCACCGGCAATCAGCAACACAGTGAACTTGGCAGAAATGCAAACTCTTGGGCTCCGCCCTGCACTTACTGAATCAGAATCTCTGGGGCGGGGCCTAGCCATCTGTTATCGAGACTTCCACATGAATCTGATGCTCGCTCAAGTTTGAGAACTACCATCTACAGAGACCAGATAAACAAGTACATTTAGCCCAGGCCAGGGTTCCTCATCCTCCGCACTACTACCTTCTGGGGCTGGAGAGCAATTCTTTCTATGAGGGACCATCCTGTGTGTTGTTGGATGTTGGGCAGCATCCAACTGGGTGCTAGTGGTACTCTCCTCCAGTGATGACAACCAAAACGTCTCAGGATGTTGCCAAATGTCCCCTGGGGGCAAAGTCACTCCTGCTGAGAGTCGCTGGCCTAGAGTTTGGAAAAATGGACACGAAATTCAGGACAACCCTCCCATCATGTCCATTTCCTCTCAAAATGTTCTCAGTCAGTTCTTACTGCTTTCTGCTTTTATAAATGAATCAACTTCAGCTGGACCTTACTTCATTTTATTTAGTTATTTATATTTAGAGAGAGGGGGAAGGAAAGAGGGAGAGAAACATCAATGTGTCGCTGCCTCTCACACGCCCCCCACTGGGGACCTGGCCTGCAATCCAGACATGTGCCCTGACTGGGAGTCGAAAAGGCAACCCTTTGGTTCCCAGGCCCGTGATCAATCTACTGAGCCACACCAGCCAGGGCCAGACCTTACTTTAAAGGTTAAAAGCTACTCTTCTGAGCATTAAAGCGGAGGTTGTAGAGAAAAGGTGCAAGCCAATTTTTTTTTTAAACCCTGGCCCTCACCCAATGACACTCCTTCCTATCTTCCCAGCACCTGAAAGCTGAGAGCACAGGGCCATCTCCTCCCTATACCATCCAGCCCTTTGGAAACAGTGATTTTGGAGTCAGCTGTCTCCCTATCCCATAAATCTGTACACAGTAAGTGTCCAATAAGTGCTTGTTTGATGAGTAAGGGCAATTAGTATTCTGTTTCCTCAACATGCTGGTTCCATCAGGTCAGAGGCCATAAAAACCAATGAATCAGAGGATACACAAGGGCAGGTACTGTGGCTTTTAATCCCTGTTGTATCCCTAGGGCCGGTACTCAATAAGCTCAGTATTTCTAAATATGTGAATGAGTGAATAAGTGAACAAATGAATGATTGAGAGTCTAACACATATTTACAACAATGTAAAAACCAACCGCCAAAAAACCACACACACAAAAAAACAAAAACAAAAACATGAACCCACAACCATGCTCTCTCATTGATCTCATACGATGTTGCCCTGGCTAAAAAGGCTGTCTTCCTTTCAGGGTAGTTCCACGGGCCTGAAACACAAATCAGAAGCCCAAGGTGCCGCCCCTCACCTGGTCCAGTCACCTGCCTGGGCCCTGCTGTGCCCGAGTGAAAACAGGAGCTGATCTAAGGCTCCCCCAGAACATTTCGGTCCCCGAGCAGCTGTGTCACCACTCCCCAGAAGACACTTAGCAGCAGTGCACCTGGCCGATCTCAAATATTCAGCAATTTACCCAACATGCATGAGTCATAAATAAAACATTTTACTGAATATAAACAGCTATAAGGTACTTATATGAAGTGCCCTTATTTATGTTCCTATCATGCAAATTTCATTTATTCTATCCTTTTTTTCACATTTCTCTTTTCTTCTTAGGACTCACGTACCCCCTTTCTTGCCTTGTAAATTGGCAGGAAGAGGCCACAGCCTGCTCACAATGAACTCACCTGAAAACAAAATACAGAGCCCAAATAGGCACGGGTGGGGGGTGTGTGTGTGTGTTCAGGTTCCCGCTTCCCATGTAGGACAGGCTCTCCAAGTTAGTTACTTCCACATCATGATTACAAAAAGCTGGACGCTACACCTCCCTTTTTGAGAGAACAGCAGTACACTCTCTTCCAGAAAGCCTTTCAACTTTTGGAATATCACCATTTAAGACCACTCACTGTACCAAGGAAACAGTTTCATGCAATAAACATCAGTCATTTCCTCCAAACTCCCACAGGAAAGCACTAACCCTTTTTAACGTTGAGGGTTATAAACATGCTAAAGTTTTAAGTAAGTATCTCTCCAATCAATCGTGTAGCCCTGGGAAGACCAGGGAGCTGGAGTCTCGACTCTTCATGGTCCTCAGTTTTCTCTTGGGTAAAATGAGAAAATCGGGTTGTATCAGTGTTTCCCAAAGTCCAGTGGGCATTCAATGCAAGTCGTCCCAATACAAAAAGGAGTTGACACTAGGTGCACACAGATGAACATTTTTCAGCTATTAGTCTAATTCTTTATGGCAAGTGATACTGGTTTTCCACTATGGTGGTAATGTAAAATGTCCTTGAAAATAAAGGCATCTAAGGCTTTTTAAAAAATGAATCGCTTTCAGGTGGGGAAAAAAAAAAACCTAGTAAATAAGAGTTCAGGTGGCTCTAGAAGCTGTGCAAAATAAATTATCTTGGGACCTTGGTGTTGCGCAAAAGAGATGTCTAAAGCCCACAGTGAAGAAGAGAGTGAAAGCCCTGGAGGTTTTTGCTGCCATCAGGGAATCCCGGAAACCAGGACGCGCCGTAACCGGCCGCCCGTCCTCCTGGCTCTGGAGAGGGAGGCTTGGAACTCAACAGCTCGGGACAAAATCCCACAAAGGAGAGGCGGGGACTGGGGTCCGGAGATGGAAGGGGGGGGGGGGGGACGGGACACGCCAGGCAGGCGTCGGGGGTCCCAGACTAGTCTGAGGCTGGAGGGATGTATTGGGACGGGGATCCCCAGCTAGAAGGGAGCAGTGGCACCCGGGAACTGAGGTTCCCCAGATGGAGGGTGTCAGGGGTCCCCGAGGGGCGTGGCAGGGACCGAGGTCCGGGACCGGAATCGAAACTGGAGGGCTTGCGGGTGGGAACCTGGAGTTGCAGCAGACAGAGGGGCGCAGCGGGCCGCGCGTCCTAGGTACCGGGGACGTCCCTAAGCGGAGAGGCCCGGGGCCGGGAGACCCGCCGCCCCTACACCCCGTCGCCTGCGGGAGGACTGGCCGCCCCCGTCGCTCCTGCGCCCCGCGCCCGACCTGTCTTCGCTGGCGGTGATCACGCCGTCCTCCTTTGGGATGAGCAGCGCGGCCGTGACTGCGTCCTGGTGCCCCTCGATCTTGCTCAGCAGCACCGGGCGGCTACTCTGCGGCCTGGAGTGGATCTCGGCCGCCATGTTCGCGCGGCGGCAGCCTCCCGGGGCTGGCGGCCCATCAGCTGACCGCGGGGCGGGCGGGGCGGGCGGGAGCGTCGGTTTGCCAGGGCTCCGGAGCCTCGTGGGCGCCGCGCTGCCGTAAACTCCCGAAGGCTGCGCTTACAAGGCACCGTATTGCCGCGAGGAGAAGCGCAGCTAAATTCACAAAGCCGGCACAGAGCCACAGAGGACGTTTGTTTGCCCGGAAGTAGGGAGAGTTATAAAGGTTGAAAATGTAAAGGTAAAACAAACAAACAAACAAACAAACAAACAGCGTAAGGAAAAGCCTTGTAAGAGTTTATTAGTTTATTTGAGCCAAACTGAGTACAGTTTCCAGGAGGCAAAATCTAAACAGATTGAGAAAATGCTCCGGAGAATGTCAGTTTCGAATCTTACACATTAGAATAAAAGGAGCCATAAAGAGGGTTACAAGAAATCTATTAGTGGTAGATTAAGGGGGCAGGAGAAAGCAACGTGGGGAAATCTCTGGGATTAGGTAAAAAGTAAAACGGAGAAACATACATCTTTTCCGTTGGTGGGCTCGGCATAGTTAATTACCATTTACATACAACACATAGAGATGGTATTGGGGGTACCACATAACAATGAGGGGTTCTGTTGTCTCATGCTCTGAAGGGTCTGGACAAGATTTTCATGGTCTTTCAAAGGTATGTTATCTTAGATACACCAAGACAACAGACGGGCTCACTTGAGGTAAAGATTGACCTTTGTCAAGGAAACTACAGGCCTAGGATGTCACTGTCCACCATGAATTGCTTTCAGTTAAGAACTTTTATGTTCAGACCATCCTATGCTATGTGGTTACTTTGGATCTCTGAGTTCGTAAGGCCACCACGTAGGCCTCCCCTGAGCTTGTCAAGTTTGGTATGTGACCTCTTTTCGTCCACAAAAAATAACGTCTTGGTCACAGGCTGACAGTGACCAGAGAAGAGAGGGGAGGAAATTTCAGGAGAAAAGGGGAAGAGTTTACAGGAATAAGTATAAAGGACACATGGACAAAAACTAAGGGGGGTGGAAATGGGAGGGAGGTGGGGAGCACGGGGTGGGGGCTGGGATGGGAGTAAAAGACAGAAAACTATATTTGGACAACAATTTAAAAAAATTAGAGTCCCTTACCCCAGAATGGATTGAGCAGTTGTCAGGGGAGAGAAATTGTCCCCCGAACCGGGACTTCAGCAAATAATAATATTACATTGTCTTCATTCTAAAAAGCCATTATTCGGAAGACACCTTCATTTCAGATGTTTGCGTGAAAACGTATAGTGCAGTTGAGAGTCTTTGAGAGACAGTAGGTGACACCCACTGAGCAGCAACTACACATACTAGACGCTACCCCAATTTCCTTACATGGATTACTCCTTTATTACCGATAACAATGTTAGGAAATGGAGAGAGAATTGCTCTTACATTCTCACTTTAGAGATAAGAAAATGGAACCAGGGGGAAGTGAAATCACTTGCTTAAGGTCACATAGCTATGCCAAAGAGAAAGGCTGCCTTGACCTCGGTTACCTAGCCTGGTACTAGCAGCCAGGTTTCCATGTCGCTAGGAGTTGGCCAGGTGCTCACAGCTTATTCCTGTGGAACATAAACGTCAGACAAGGTGACTTCATAAGCATCTTTAAAGATGCTTTATGATACATCTTAGATATTAATATTAATTTTACTTATTTCTTATGGCTAAAATTTTTAAATTATAGATGTGGCTGAGTATTTCTGTTGGAGAGCACTGTACTAGTACTTTCTTATAATGAAGTTAATGTCCATTCATGGACATATTTATTCATCGATTCAACAGATGTGTATTGTACACCTACTACATGCCATGCACTGTCAAGATGAATCGACATGGTTCTTGTAAGGCCTGTACAGTTTCATGACTAAACAAGCTACTGGACAACTTTTTTTCCAATAACAAATGTTTATTTGTTGAGTGCCTGAGGTGAGGCCAGCACCATTCTAAAGGCAGCTGTGCTTAAGTGAGACAAAACCTCTCTATCATTAGAACTTCTGTTACAGTGAAAGAACCAGATAATAAACAAAATAAATAAAGTCCATAGTACATGAACAGATATTAAATGCTGTCGAGAAAATAAAGCTGGGAAGGTTGATAGGGACTCTAGGAAGTGTTGCGATTTTACACAGTGTGGTGTGTTAGATCTGGAGGTACTCGCCACCCATCCGCCTTCGTGGAAGAGGGGTGCTCAGCAGGCATTCTCCAGCTTTCATCTCTTTCAGAGTCTGCCTTAGCTGCAGAGAGCCACCCCTCCATGGGGCAGCCTGAATTCAGTAACTAAATGAGACATGAGTATAAAGGCAGGGCCACTGCAACCTGCCCAGGACACACTAATGAGCAATACTGGCTTCAGAACTCTCTCTGGGATTGGGTGACGCTTTGCCAGGCCTGCATTGCAGGTGACTTCATCGGCCTACTCCTGTTACAGCTCCCTTCACAGCTATGGATCCCTAATAAACACCCTGTGTGCCAACTTCTGTCTCAGCATCTGCTTCTGGAGAATGCAACCTGAGACAGATGGCCAGGGAAGGCTTCAGGGCGAAGGTGACATCTTTAGCCAAGAAGGAGAGGAGGAAGTACGCTCTGTAGAAATATGGGAGAAGTGCTGGCCTGGAAAAGGAGACAGCGAGTGCTTAAGGCTCTACGGTGAGGGAAGTCCTCAGGGTTTCTAGGATTAGCAAGATGGCTAGGTTGCTGGAGAAGACTGGGTGAGAAGTGCAGACAGAAATGAGTACAGAACGATCACCAGACAGACCATGTCAGGCCTGAGGAATGAAAGGACTTTGGTTTTTTGTTGGGAACTGCCCCGCCTGGTTTCAGAAGCTGTACCCCACATGGCTAAGGCTGAGTGAGTGACCTTCAGACCATAAGCCACTATGGAGACAAAACTTATCCCCCTGGCAGGGGCGCCACCTCTGCTTCTTTTACTTCTCCCTGCCTGGCCCCCAATTCTTGATCCGTTAGCCACTTATGGGTAAGATTCCTCAAGGGAAGAATGACCTAACACAGGCACGATGATGGGGCCCCCAGGAATGTACTTGGGGGGGCCATAGCAAAAGGGGGTGATGGACCCTCACCCCTCAGCTTTGACATAGCCCGAGTCCTCATTCTGTCTGTGAGAAGTCTCCTAATCTCTTGGCTGCCTTACTTCCCCTGCCTGACTTAAGCCTGAAACAATGACAGAGGGCAGTGCAGCCCTGTGCTGGAAAGGGCGGGTTCCCCAGGTGATCAGGCTTAAGAAAGAATACATAAAATCCTGAGAAACCTGCTTTGCTAAGAATGCTCTTAATTAAATGATAAGGGTCTGATCAGGAAATGAGTTTGTTTCCCAAAGATTTGTAGCCCTTTAGCTAACTGACCCTGACTGAGAATAAGCCCTCATAGTTCTTTATATGTTATCTATTGTTTGATCCTTACTGCCGGACAATGGTTGATGAGCTTCACCTGTATTTCTGTGCAAATGAACCCAACAAAAGCCCAGTGAGGAAAATGCTCGTGGCCCTTCTCCTTTGAGAGACTGGCCACCTTTCCTCCCCAAGCAGACTTAATCTCATCTGTGGTGGGTGTGGTGCTGGGTGAGGGGGGGGCTGCAAGCAGACCACCCCCCACACACACACAGTTTTTTCTTTAAGTGAGATGGAAAACCATTGGAGAGTTTGAGCAGAAGACTGGCTTAATCTGCATTTTATTCTTTAAATTACATTAAATTTAATTTTTGACACCAACTCAGGGCCATGATTATTTTAAGATTAACTCCACCTACTCCCACCCTGAATATTTTGAGAATCTGAGGTAGCTTATTTTTCACAAGTGAATATTTCAGCATAAATGTCTAAACAGTAAAGACTTTAAAAACAAAAATAAAGTGCCACCATTGTAAACCTCCAATAACTCTCTGGTTATTTTTAAAAAACTTGTCAGTATTCAAGTCCTCCACATTTCCTTTATTTTTTCAGTTGATTTGTTCCAACCGGGGTCCAACATAGGAGCCCAGTCTGGGTGACTTTCAAGGCAGGCCCATGCCCACAACCAGAAGAGAGACTGCAGAAGGAGGTTCTTTGAGGGTCTAGATGTTCAGCAGGCAGCTCAAAATTGGGAATTCAGACAAGTCATCCTTTGCAAATTAATATTACATTTTTAAAAAGTTATGTTAAGCTTGGTAGGCCAGCAATATAATAAGGCTAAGAGTGCAAGATTTTAGAAAAGACATATACATCCACTGTTCCCATGTTGATGTATTTTCCCCCTTATCCTCTTTTTTTCTAGTGCCTTTTTTAAAGGTTGTTTTAAACTAAAAGTTTCAATTTCAGCTAAGTCAGTAACTCTTTGTCTAGGACTCCTGAAACGAAGGTTTTTTTTTGAGACAGACCAGGTGAATAGTTGCTCCATTTATTCTGGAACTAAGACTAAATATATGTTGCTGGGATGTACTTTTTTTTTTTGAACTAGTGTTTTCTATAAACTCAACGTAAAACAAGTTTTTTTTGTTTTGCTTTAGCGAGAAAGGAAGGAACAAGGGACAACTTACAAGGTGAAGCAACCTCCTTCCTAAATTTCTGGATCCAAACGCCCTTCACTACCTACTCACCCAAGAGCGATCGCGAGCTTTGGGCAGGACCCGCGCTCGCTCATGCGCAGTGGCACTCCGCCGCGGCCGCCCCGCCCACTGGACGCTGGCCCCGCCCCTGCCTACCTTAGCACCCCAATTCCGACGGTGCTGTGTTACCGCCACACTGTTCCGACGTTTTTCCTTCCTCCCTCCACTGCCCCGTCCCCTGCAATGGCATCCGGGTTGGTCAAGCTGCTGTTGCGGGGCCCTCGCTGCCTCCTGACACCGGCCATCCCTCCTCGACCCCCGCCAGCTCGGGGGGTGAAGGACTTCCGCGCAGCCGTCCGCTTCCAGAAGGAGTTGGAGCGGCGGCGTCTGCTCCGGAACCCGCCGCCGCCCGTCCGCCGGTAGGGGCCGCCTGGGGAAGGGGTCAGGGGGACGATGGAGGAGCCGGGACCTCCCGCTTGGCTTCGGCCGGGCGGCGGGGAGCGGTCCTTCGTCGCTAACGCGCGCCTGGTTCGAGCCTAGGAGGTTTGCGATGTAAATACTCACGCGACGAGGACGCGTGGACTGAGCCGAAGATGCTGGATTTGTGCCGCGCTCCCGTTGGAACTCCCATTTAGAAGCCTGTCAACTGCGATAAGGGAAGAAAGCGCTCCACAGCATTGCGATTTGAAGGAAGAAAAAATTAAGTGTATTTCACCACAATTCCACTGTCTAGAGTAAAAGGGAAACATTTTAAATTTAGGTTTTTGCTCTAATTAATCTTGTTTCAGTAATAGAAGCTCTGGTCGAAAGAGACGCAGATCTTCATAGGACCAAATCAGATCCCACTGTACACGAGATTTTGCATCTTTTTCTCTCAAATAATGTGTCTGACGTCTTGTCATGGCAGTACAAATAGATGCACTTTGCTCTTTTGTGGCTACACTTAACGGGCATTTGAGTTCCATATTATTGCTATTACAACTGATGTAGTAGTCAATAGCTTTGAAGTTATTACTCCTTTGGAGATTTAGTATGAAATTTCGGCCCTGGCTGGTGTGTGGCTCAATGGATTAAGTGTGGGCTGCGAACCAAAGAGTTGCCGGTTAGATACCCGGGTTGGGGCACATGCCTGGGTTGCAGGTCAGGTCCCCAGAGGGGGCCACTCCAGAGGCAACCACACACTGATATTTCTCTCCCTCTCTTTCTCTTTCCCTTTCCCTCTCTTTAAAAATGAATAAATAAAATCTTTAAAAAAAAAGAAATTTCGACAGCTACTTTAATGTTGCCCTCCACCCCGCTAAAAAGACGTTAGGTAATGCGGTTTATACACCTACCAGTAGGAATATGCATGTTCATATTCCTGTACTGTTTGAACACAAGCATTAACATCTTTTCCTAATATTTATTTTTAATTCACATTTCTCTGATTATTGTGAGGTTGGTCATTTTAGGATTTTATAGTTGGGAGAAATTTGTGGATTACATACACATTTTATTATTTATAATTCAGATCTTTAAACTTTGCTTCCCTCTTTTACTTAAAAGTTTTATTTTAGGTTAATAGTCTTTTTAAAAAAACCTTTCAGTCATTCTTGGGAATGATTTTGAACTTCTAACCTACTTCTAAATTGCTAAATTAAATGGATGTTTTCAGTAAAATATATGATAAATACAGTGTATTTATTGTTTATGGCTTGAGCCTGTGAAATTATCATTTGTATTTCACACCTAGGTATTAAGTGTAGTTGCATGGTCAGAGCGCTTTAATGTAACACTTGGCTCAAAGGCAAAAATATTCCAACAGTGTGTCTAGCAAAGAACAAATAATCATCTGACTTGAATTTTAACTTTTAAAAAATCAAAGCATGGCACTAAAGTGAAAGTTTTGTGAAATTTCTTTTATATAATTAACATAATTACATCATCAATGAAAAATCTTTGCACCATAGTAACATCCCATTGTTTTCCTTGCCATCTATCAGCTGTCCTCTGTTTCACGTTTTCAGGTCGGAGAAGCCCAACTGGGACTACCACGCTGAAATACAAGCATTTGGACACCGGCTACAGGAAACCTTTTCCTTAGATCTCCTCAAAACTGCATTTGTTAATAGCTGCTATATTAAAAGTGAGGAGGCCAAGCGTCAAAAGCTTGGAATAGAGAAAGAAGCTGTTCTTCTGAATATTAAAGACAATCAAGAACTCTCTGGACAAGGGTCCTCTTTTTCACAAACGTGCCTCACACAATTTCTTGAGGATGCATTCCCGCACTTGCCTGCTGAAGGCATTCAGAGCCTTGTTGACTTTCTCACTGGCGAGGAAGTTGTGTGTCACGTGGCTAGAAACTTGGCTGTGGAGCAGCTCACTCTGAGTGCGGAATTTCCAGTCCCCTCGACTGTGTTACAGCAGACCTTCTTTGCAGTGATTGGAGCCCTGCTACAGAGCAGCGGACCTGAGAGGACTGCGCTTTTCATCAGGGTAGGTCATTATTAATTGCACGTACCAGGACAAATCTGAGATAGAAAAGTTTCTTTTTGTCATTCATATCTGTGCAATATGACCTTGGAAGGTTGTTTGTGAAATGAGAGAGACCTCGAGCTTTTTCATGGTAGTATGTTAATTATTCCAGTTATGTCTCATTGAGGACCTTACCAGGAGTGAATATGAAATGCTGGCTTGTGAATTTGTAAGGCCTGCAAGCTATGTCTTTAGTTTTGCACCCCGAGGTCCAAGGATACTGCCCACGTAGTCGATGCTTAGTAGCTGTGTAGTGAATGAATGAGACAGAAGGAATCTCTGGAGGGCCCAGTGTGCTTTGGAACCGTCAGTAATAAAATCTTGGATTTTTGATTTCCAGTGACGTACATCTAGCTTTGAGTGAGCCAGCAGCTTAGCTAATTAAAACGAAATGTGATCCATATGACTTGGCTGCCACTGTCCTTTTTGAAGTCATTAACTGAGAGAATTTTTATCCTCTGCATTGGAGGAAAGCATGAGTTTTTGGTTACTCTTACATAATGAAAAGTCCATACAATCACCGTAAGTTAAAAAAAAAACCAAACCAGTCTTGATTCAGACATTTGCATGTGGGACTTTTAAACCAGCATCCCTTGCTGTTGGAATCTATCCATTTAGTTTTGACACAGTTTGATGATTTTTATAGAGAAGGGTATCTGTATTTACCAACACTCGGGCTTCATTCATAGGTAAAACCTGTCTTGTTTCCCCTGTTAAGGCCTGTGATAGGTCTGCCTTTGGGAAGCAGGTATGTTAACAGATTTGTACTTGGCTTGTGGACTGTGAGTTAGTGCATTGCTTTCTGAGCCTGGTCGACATTGGGAACAGGCTCTAATGGGCGCTGCGTCCCCTGCTGGAACCTTCCAGCCGTGCTCCTTGATATGGTGTGGGCTGCTCCTGCTCTTCTTGGCGTGTGGTTTCCTGGATAGATTCTTTAAAAATGGCCACCCTCTGTGAGTCCCACATCAGGTCCTCGAGTTTGTACCTGAGACGTCCGCTACAGACTTCCCTCCACCGCTGCAGGCGGCCCCTGATGGCCTCCTGCCTTTAAGCCAGGAACAGTGTTGGCTGCCAGAACGTCCACCCCTGCCCCAGGTCGGAGGTCGTGGACACTGTCAAGACCCCTGGGCTCGCGGGGAAAAGGAAAATGTCCCCTGCTTTGCCCTCCCAGAATTAAATAGCTTTTTCTAAAGACGTTCTCACAAGTCCTCCCTTTATTTCCATTTCTTCTCTCTCTCTTTTTTAATTGCCCTCTCTTCTTCGGAGTCTTAGAACCCTCTCAACAATTTTCTGTCATTTTTTCAAGATTTCTGTGAGGTAGTTGTGAGAGCATTCTGGAAATACTTGCTCACCATGTTTTCCTGCCCCTTTGACAGTTCCAGGTGTAGAGCCTCTTAGATAATTCAGAGACCTTTGCCTAAGTCATGAGCATTTGTTTAGTTTAGTTTCATTTTTGTTTGTTTCCCATCCCAGAACGGACAGGTTTGAATTGTCCCGTTGTCCATGCCAGGCACCGAGCTACCTGAGCTACACAGGACGCGGGTGTTGCCTTGAGTGTCACCAGGCAGATGATTATCGTAATAAAATTTATGTGAGAAAACTATATGGGAAGGCAAAGGAATAGTGCTTTTTTCTTTTATTTCCCGTAAGTTTTTAATTTCTCTTAAAATTATACTTTGAATTATAGTCCATGTATTTTCTTTACACTAATTTAAGCATATAAATTATATTTTTATGTGCAGGACTTCTTAATTACCCAGCTAACTGGAAAAGATCTCTTTGAGATTTGGAATATAGTCAATCCCATGGGGCTGTTGGTGGAAGAACTGAAGAAAAGAAATATTTCAGCTCCTGAGTCCAGACTTACCAGGCAGTCCGGAAGCACCACAGCTTTGCCTGTGTTTTTTGTTGGCTTATACTGGTTAGTAAAAGTTTAATTTTAATTTCTTAACATTGTTTGGAAACCTTAAAAAATGATTTTTCACAATTCCTTAGTAAAACCTCTAATTGCATTAAAAGATTTTTAAAAATCTCATTCCTGTGATTATCTGTATACTACTTCCTTTCCTGCTGGCCATTCTTAGGGAAAGGTATGTAATCTGTGGATTGTTAATAGTATCTTTTTTACTTCCCCTGAATTTCTTTTTAATTTTCTTTTTCAATTACAGTTGACATTCAATATTATTTTATATTGGTTTCAGGTATACGGCATAGTGGTTAGACAGTTACATGATTTACAGAGTGATCTTCTGATATTTCAAGTACCCACTTGGTACCACACACACTTAATACAATACTATTGACTATATTTCTTATGCTGTACTTGACATCTTGTGACTACTTTTAACTGCCAATTTGTATTTCTTAATTCCTTCACTTTTTCCACGCTTATAGTAGCTTTTCATAACCAACTATTACTATAGAATTTCATGGCATATATGTTAATCTGAATATTTCTGTAGGAAAAAAAAATAAAAGTTTTGACTCAAGTTTTACAGATTTAACCCCAATCCACACTGACAACAGCTTTAGCTGAGCCAAGACTGGAAAAGCAAGGGTTTAGTTGTCAAATGTATACGTATATGTACATCAACTTATGCTCAGAACTTTCTGGTGTTCTTAGTAACAGTTGACCTGCCCCCAGCTGAATTCAGGTGGGTTAGAGTGTTAACTATAAACAGTGAATATCTAAGATAACTAAGAATGGAAAGATACTTTCTTGCTTCTCAGGCTGGCAAGCCTTAAACATTTCTCTTGTCAGCAGTTCACAAATACCAAAGAAACAATGGTAGAATATTTCTGTTACTCCTGGCGGGTAGTGGCGCCAAAATGAGATTTACAGGGTGAAACTGACTTGTGCACTGTGCTTAGTGACGCACCAGGTACTTTCAGACTGCTGCTGTTCTTTTACCCTAGTGACAAGAAGTTGATGGCAGAAGGGCCTGGGGAGACAGTTCTGGTTGCAGAAGAAGAAGCTGCTCGAGTGGCACTTAGGAAACTGTACGGCTTCACGGAGAACAGACAGCCTTGGGACTATTCCAGGCCCAAAGCGGCTTTCAGAGCAGAAAAGACCCTCACTGCCGGCTAGCCGGCCGAAGCTGGAGGAACCTGAAATGCGCCTCCCGTCCAAGTGCAACCCAGGCCTGACCCTGCTTAGCTTCTGAGGTCAGACGAGATCGGGCGCATTCAGGGTGGTACAGCTATAGATGGAACCTGAAATTTATAAGCAAAACATTGAGACAGGTGTCACAGGTGTTCAAATTGTAGAGAAATGCTTTATTTCTCATACTGAGTTCTTCAAATTAAACAAGTATTCATCAGGGCATGTGTTTTATTTTTTAAGTCATTTTTTGTTGTCTTTTTTTATGTTTTCCCAATAAATTTTTACTGGGTTCTTGACTTTATTATTGTGTATAACTTGTACAATTAAGTGTATTTTATATCCTTCTAGCTTTGAGGTATAATTTGAATGTATGTTTTATGTGAACTTTGCTGCAATGCCAATAAAGTTATTCTTCTCTAATTGTTTAATTGTAGTTTAATTTGATTTACCCAGATGAACTTTGCCTCTCTAATATAATTTTAGCTAAAATAAGTAATGTTATAATTTAACTTTTAGAAATATAAGGTGTGTACTGTAGCAACTAGGTATTTATACCATTTCTAGATTCCATCTAGGTTTTAAAATCTGTGTACTAATTGATTATATTTTTTCAAAAATTTTATTTATTTATTTTTAGACAGAGGGGAACAGGGGGAGAAAAAAAGGGAAAGAAACATCAATGTGTGGTTGCCTCGCATGCACTCCTGTATTGGGGACCTGGCCCACAACCCAGGCATGTGCCCTGCCTGGGACTCAGACTGGCAGCCCTTTGCTTTGCAGGCCAGCACTCAATCCACTGAGCCACACCAGCCAGGGCTAATTCACTCTCTAATCATTCACCTTCTATAAAATAAATAGCAGAAAAGATATATTTTATCCTTTTAAAGGAAAATATAAAGATCAAAAGCAGCTTAAAGTATTGAGGCCATCTAATGAAAAAATTGTGTATTTACCAATTTAATATTCCATAACTGTAATTATACCTAGTGCGCACCACGTACTATTCTATAGTGTTTAACATTTAATTCAGTTGAGGACAAATTTTAAGTGTGTCCTTCCAGTTCTTTAATCCTTTGTGTTCAATTCATTAGTCCACCTGCAAATTCCCTTTGATTTCTTTCTTTTTAAGAAATAAATTGTTACTTTTAAGTAACAAATTGTTACTTGTTCTGGCAACAGTAACAATTTTTAGTTTCAGTCTATCAGTTTGCCAGTCTCAGGAATTAACAGGAAAAATGAGAATTGGCAGTTGAGACTATAAAAGGTAAAATGTGTAAACAGCATTTTTGGCATAAAATCTTTATAAAGGAAGATGAAGGACTTTTGAATCTTTTCTCAAACTGGTTAGAAAAGTGAAACTTGTGAGAGTTTGCAGATATCACTGCTAGCTCATAGACTTTTGGGAGTGGAAAGTTTGAGAGTTACATAATTGGTTGAATTGGTAGACAAGTGTAAATTACTTCACCTTTCTTTTGAGAGTCAATCATTAAATACAGACAGAGGACCAAGCCACACTTCTGTGTGTTGTCCACAAAAAGTAAACGTGAATTGATAAGTAGCTCACTGACGCAAGAGGAGAAAGGAGATTATTACAGAAAGTTCCTGGGAAGCAAAAGATGGTAAATGCCCCACAACCACATACTCATCCAGTACATGCAACATGTCAGGTTCCAGGTAGAAGATCCACATTTTATTTCAGTGAACATTTTTTTCAAAGGTTTTTAAAGAAGTTGCAAACTCAGTCATCCCCTATAAGTAGTGCTGGTAACGCAACCCCAACTTTCTGTTCGTGGCAGTTTGCACGACCTTATTAACCTCCAAGGGCAAGTACCCTCACCCTTAGATTTTTAAGTTTCTAAGCCTTGAATGCCTTTGACTAACCTATGCAACAAACCTAGCTCTAATGCAGAAAAGCTCTTTTGCAAGTAAAGAAATCCAAATTTTTTATGGAAAATTATATTTCTAAGTGAAGTGTTTTTTGCACCTGAATTAAGTTGTGCTTTTCAAAAGCACCCAAGAACACATCATAGGCTGGAATGTAGAAAACAAATCAGCTCACTTCTGCAGTTCTATATGACATGTCTTGAAACTTGGAACCAACCTGGACAACTATTTAATTTGCTCTAAGAGAATAAATCCTGCATGAGTTTTATGGGTGGACAAGAGAAACGTGGGTTATAAGGGGTGTGTAACCAGAACATTAAGCGACCATTTGGAAGACTGGGTTTTTGACTAATGTCCACCAGGGGTGTCCAACCTTTTGGTGTCTCTGGGCCACACTGGAAGAAGAGTTGTCTGGGGCCACACATATGTTACCACAACAATGTTTCATAATGGGTTATGTACAGCCATCCTGGGCCGCAGGTTGGACACCCCTGGTGGAAGACAGTTGTCACGACCACAGGAAGTTGGTGGAATATAGAAGTACTGCTACTTGAACTGGGCATCGGAGAAAGACATGAGAGCCATTTAGTTTGAGATTCTGACGCCCTTTCTCATCTCTTCCCACTCCACTTCCCTAAGCCCCAAATGCTCATTTAATGGCACCAAAAAAGGTTTCTTAGCCAAAAATGTAAGATTGACGTCTACAGACTCAATGCATAAGCCTTACTGTTTTTAGTATGTAGTGCTTTATTATATACGTACATATAATATGAAATATTACTCGCAAAGTGTTTTATGTGACCAGGAGAGAGTGAACTATATTACTAAAAACTCAGACTCCCAAGGAGGAAGCAAGGGCTGTGTATCATGTTCAGCATGTTATGTTTTTTGGCCACAAGATGGTGGTGTAATTCCACTTTACAACTAAGTAGTGTGCAAAGTACAGGATCGGGACACGGCTTTTCTCTCCACACAGGAGAGATTATGTATGTATGTGTAGGACACATGATTACAGTGAAACGAGACTTTTCTGGGCCCCTTGCAGCTCTACCATTCTATGAGTATGTGTGCAGAAGGTAGTGCACCTGTCCCTGCAGGTGTAAAGTGCAGAATTCCATGTAGGGATGACTTACCTCTGATGCTCAGGTCTGGGTGCTCAGCTCTCCTATTTACTGGGAAGAGGGCAAATGTCAGGGCTTCCATAGGTAAAACTTTTAAGAGACTTTTTTTGGGGGGGGGCCACTTCTTCCTATGTTTTTCTCCTACTTTTTTGATGATGGAAGAAAAGGCACTGACTGCCGAGGTAAGGATATCTTATCGTCCGTCTTCTCAGCTTGCAAAACCAGATGTGGCCGTTTCTCTCACCAGCGGGCCAGCTCACAACTCCCCCAGCGCAGGGACGCCCACGCAGGGTGCCCGGCAGGCAGCGTGCCGCCCACGTCTGCACCCCTAAGCCTACTCTTTCCCCCTCGGCTGCCCCCTGGGCTGTCTCTCCAAACCTCAGTTTGTAAAGCCCCCTACCCTTGTCCCCTGGGACCTGCAGCTTTGGGTCCCCCAACTTTGGTTCGCTCTCAGAGCGCCTGAAAGCCATGGTTCTCTCTGGAACACCAAGAGTGACTGTTAGACTGAATCCCATCTTGCAAACCAAGAATTCTTCGGGGAGAAAATCTGTGCAGTCAGAAATCATCATCACGAGCACATACCATCCTGAGAAGAAAAGCAGGCGGTTTGGCGTTGCTGCGGTCCATCCTCCAACCACACTCGCTTGCTCTTTCCGTGTGCCCGACAGCCTGTCATGCTCCCTGACCTCAGAACACGCAGAGTTTCGGGAGAAAAGCCTCTGGGAGAAAAACAGTTGAGAAAATGAAAAACATTAAATTGTTCCCCCTTCGGTTAAGGAAGAGCTCCACAGAATGCCTTTTCACCGCATCTGTCGTACATTAAAATTGCAAAACGAACTGATGATTTTGATCCCACGGCTTTTGCAGAAGACGTAAGCAACGAGGTCGCTGACAGGTAGAGAAGGCTGTTTCCAGTGAGGGGAGGGAGGTTTGGCTGGCTTTCTGACGACCCTTCCGCTACATGAGTTACAGATGATGTCCTCTCCACAGCAAGAGCGCGTGTCAGAAAAGGCCAGGAGACACTCGGAGGTAGGCAATGTGGTTAATGAGACAGATACAGTCAGCGGTCGGCAGACCATCCTCAGATTAACGTGACAGTGGTGCCCGCAGGGGTCCTGACCACCGGCCCCTGGGACTCGCTTCTCAGTCCTGTGTTTGTTTTTCTGGTCTAGGAAGGAGAAGCGCAAGGCCTGCCACCCTCCTCTTTACCTTTGGTAGCTGGGATTATAAATTTCAGGTGGAGGAGGTATACCTCCAAGAAAGGTAAACATTCACTTCCATTTTGCTTTTCACCATTCAATTTCATCTGCAGACCCTCATGATGCACCTGGTATCACTGCAGAACAGTGACTTTTTTTTTAGCCAGTTTCTGCACATCTACGTCCTTTTTCTTGATTTGGGAGAAGGAATCTTCAAAGAAACGGAGCGTCGGAGCCAGTGGCGTCTTCCACTCCTCCACCGTGGGAAGTGGGCTCTCTGTAGGCCACGCTGCCTTTCAGCACCGCGGGAGGGTGAGGACGGAGCAGCCGCTCACCAATGCATGCTTTGTGCATGGTTCGCATGCAACGCAAGCGAACCCGCTTTGCATGCTTTAGGGCTCCATCAGCAAAGGCGTCTGGGAGAAGTTGGACTCTGTTGAACTCTCTGTAGCCTCAGGCTTGGATCACTGCGCAGAACACCGGCTGCCGCCCAGAGATCAACGTCATGACGCAGGAGGGGGGTTCATGGATGTGCAGAGTGTGATAGCTGCCTAATGGTGTCCGCTGACTTAGGAACGCACGGTTCTTCTGGTGGTCCAAGTGACTACCTACCGTGTGCTGTTACTATCAACCTCCTATAAAAGGGACCCTGTCCTGGGAGGGCTGAGCCCCCTGAGTTTCCAATGTCCCTTCTCCCTCTGTCCAGCCATGGAAAAGGTCCAACCTTGTCCTCAGCAAGGCTGAGACAAAAGCCAGTGTGCAGAGTTTTTGCTTCGTATTAAAGCTCAGTTCCTTGCAGTCCACAAGCAGCTGCCAAGTGGCCTCAGTCCCCATCCAGGCAGCTTACAGGTGGCTTAGCTTGTTTTCCCTGCTGCTCCTGTGGCGCAGTCCACGTGGCTGCTGGCCATGCAGCTGCTAAGGCCACATGGCCCTGGAGAGAGGACGTGTGAGTGCATAGGGCAAGTGCGGGTCACGTGGGAGGGGGAGAGAACAAGAGCTTCTTTGTTTCCCTGGGATCATGTTAGTTCGGGCTTGGGGTGGACCAGCAGAACCAATTTTTTCAAAAGAACCAATCAACTTCCCAAGCTTATGCGGGCTTTTGATAGGTGTACACCCCCTGCTGAGACTGACGGGGGGGGGGGGGCGGGGCTTTATGGTCCAGCCCCTCCCCCTGTACCCCACAATGATCTGCTACCAGAGGTGGGTGGAGAACGGAGAGTTAATCCTCTTGGAGAAACACAATGCTGAGGTGCCCTGCAGTGTGAAGAGCTGTAGCTTCCTAGTGAAGCAAACAGGTTTACGATCTGTTGACTAAGCTCGATGTCTAAGTCCCTTTGTTTTCCTTTTCTATTAACAATTATTTAAATATGGACAGTAACAGTACTTGGTACCCAGAAGGTACTTTAACGAATGAATGAATCAATGGCATTCATAATTCTTGGGTCACTGATAACACTATTCCTGTTTTAAACTATTCAAAATAATGTAACTGAATGGGACCAGAAAACTGGAAAACCAGTAAAGTTCTAAAAGGCATTAATAAGTGACTACACCAGCATGTTTGCTAGAGTACAAGCGGTCTGTGGCCCTTAATCTCAAATTGGGAAAACATGCCCCCTTTCCCGCTCTCTTATGGTTAATCAAAGTGTCTCTGCTCAGCTGCAAACCGAAGCTCAGCCCACTTGACAAGAATTACAAACAGCAAATTGGTGGAGTGTTGAAGGTGAAGTTTTAATATAACCATATTTTTAGGGCTTTAAGATGCACTGGACCATAAGACACACCTAGGTTTGAGAGGAGGAAAATAGGAAAAAAAAATGTTTGAGGCAAAAAATGTGGTAAGATATTCAATAACCTGTGACCCCACTCCACCACCCCCCGACAGCAAGCCAGGTAAGCTACATTTGGACTATCAGATGCACCCCCACTTTCCGCCCAAATTTGGGGGGAGAGAAAAAAGTGCATCTTATAGTCCGAAAAATACGGGATTAAGAGTGATGAGTAGAGTTCAGAGGTTAATAATATGTTTGTACATTGCCCTGGCCAGGTGGCTGGGTTGTCATAAACACAAGGACGTCCCGAGTTTGATTCTGTCAGAGCACATGTCTAGGAGGTGGGTTTAGTCCCCCGTCAAGGCAGGTACAGGAGACAACTGATGGAGTGGGCTCTCTCTCTCCCTTCTCTCTCTAAAATCAATAAGCATACCCTCAGGTGAGGACTTAAAAATGTTTTAAAGTATTGATTAAAAAAGTATTTTAAACCATTCTGATTTTGATAAGACTACCCAAATCTTGAAGAAATTAGTAGGGGGGGAAATAGGCAAATAAACAAATGGTAACATTAGAGTTGTGATTCGTTCTCAAAAAAAAAAATCTTGTCATTAAAAAAAATAAACTCTAGCCTGTCACCAAAAGGACACATCTACCGTTCACTCTGATTTTCGAAGCCTGTTAGTCCCCCCCCAGCCACTTCTTTCTGCTTTGGCCACAAAAACCCTGCTTTTGCTGATAATACTGGGCCCTCGCTTGAGTGAACAGGTCACCGAGATTAGAGGCGGTTCAACGAGATGGTTATTTCTCTGAAGTGATCTACAAATGGAGAAGGGGGTGGAGCGGAGAATAGTATTTGCTTGTCAGGTTTGGAGGGAAAAAGCTCAGGGCTTTGGGTTTTTCCACTGCTTACCAAAGTGCAGAGTTTTTATCAGAAGAGGTTGAAGTCTTTACAAAAAGGCTGTTTCTTGTGTTGCATTTTCAAACAGCAGAGAAATACCTTTTTTTTAAACTACTCATAACACTTTATTTTTTTACTTTGTACAAAATACCCCAAAAATGCAAATCCAGAGAATACAGACCAGTAGTGACAGGCACACTGCACAAGAGCAAACCTTGTCTAGCAAGACATTAGTTTTTAAAACTTTATTTTAGTGAATACATGCAATATATAAAACAACAAGGAGAACAACAACATCCAAAACACACAGAGGCTACAGATTTCACTACTTCTACCCCCGCACCCCAAAGAATGCTTACGCTCAAGACTTTGGATGAGACGAAACAAAAATAATTAAAAGAGGCCAATAATATTTTTTCATAGAAATGTAAAAGCTACCATAAAATGTCTTTTCCCCTCATCACGCTGATTAAATTTCCTCTGCAAAGCCATACATATAAACGAAACAAAACAAAAGTCCTGAACTGGACAGTAAATACTCAAGAGGGTTGTTACCTAAGTAACCACTCAGTAGTTTAAGGAAACTTTTAAACACTTGGGGGCCTTTCTGTTCATTTCTCAGTACAGTGTTCCCGCTGTCCTGCCCTTTCCCCTGCTTTAACACATCCCAGAATAGAAACGCTTGCATCATGGAGTCTCCGCTCTTAAGAACTAGTTTCGAAAAAGAAAGTAAAGTACAAAAGATTTCAAAGAACTATGAAAGATGCAGGCCAGGAGTTGTCTCTTCACAGCGAAGTTGGGTTTGCTTTTGCTTTGCATGGCTTCTTCTGGAACCCTTCTCAGGGTTTGTTGATCTGCCCCATGAATAAGAAGGCACCTACGGAAAATAGACCATAAAAACCCAGTTTTTGAAACAGGATGAAGGCATATTTCAAGGAAGGTTCTGGGCTGAGCTTCACCTGATGCTCTCAATAGAACGAAATTTCTGCACTGATGGGAAGAGTTTGTATCCTCGCGGTCCGACCCGGGAGCCACTAGTCACACGAGGCTACCGAGCCCTTGAGATATGGCCAAGGAAATGGAACTTTTCATTATAGTTCATTTAAATTCATTAGAAGTTAAAGGGAAAGAGCCACATGTGTGTAGAGGTCCCCGCAGTGGGCTGTTTGGGCCAGGCACACGCTACTTAGGACACTCAGCATGCAATGAGACGGGTGAGGAAGTGGCTGGCATTATTTATTTTTTAAAAAATTTTATTCATTTATTTTTAGAGAGAGGGGAAGGGAGGGAGAAAGAGAGGGGGAGAAACATCAGTGTGTGGTTGCCTCTCACACGCCCCCTACTAGGGACCTGGCCTGCAACCCAGGCAGGTGCCCTGACTGGGAATTGAACTGGTGACCCTTTGGTTTGCAGGCCAGCACTCAATCCACTGAGCCACACCAGCCAGAGCAGTAGCGGATAGTATTAATTTTAAAAAAGAGTAAACAGGAAAATGTATACGTTTCTATTCTGTACCAGCAAGAAGCCAACTTCTCCACAAAGACAATCTTTATTTATTCTTTAAAATTTTACTAAGGGGTAGGAACTATGCTTACCCTTAAAGATGGAGCTGAAGTTTGAACCAAGGACTCACAGTGCCAAGACTGACTGAATTAACAAATCTCAACTCATAACCAGAGAGTGGGCTTACGAAGGTTGATGATATCCAGCTTCTTATACAATTTAACTACTGCATTTATTTCTTTTTTAAAAAAATAATTTTATTTAGTTATTTTTCAAGTACAGTTTTTTGTCTATTTCTCCCATCCCAGCCCCCCTGCCCCGTGCTCCCCGCCTCCCTCCCATTTCCATCCCCCATAGTTCTCGTCCCTGTGTCCTTCATATTTGTTCCTCCAAATCCCTCCCCTTTTCCCCCTTAAATTCCCTTCCCTTTCCTTTGCATTTATTTCTTAAAAATCAACAGATGTTGAAAGTGCCCCAAAGGGTTGTAGGGCTCTCACTATGTTAAAACAAAACGACACAAACATAAAATCTTCTCCTTGTTTAAATGATTCCACCACCCTTAGTAACGAGCCTGGTTTTCCTCCCTCTCCGAGGTGTTTCTGCCACTCGAGGTGTTTGCGACAGCTGCCACATGGGAGAGAGGCCGAAAGCAGCACCGCTGGACTGAATCCCAGCGGCGACCTACCTTTCTGAGCTCTCACAGCTCGTGACCAGTGGACGGGGAGAACTGCTTACCTGTAGGATTATGTCGGATGAAAAACAGAAAAGGTCTGTCCACTATGAACCAGGGAGGCGATGACCTTGCAATTAGAATTGCAGCTGTGGGAAGAAAAGGAAACGTGCTGTACATCCAATGAGGGGTCAGCAAGGTGCCTGATATTTGACCACACGCTTAACAGCAGGTCCGCCAGTCACCATGCACTGAACACCCGCCGTGGGCCAGGCCCGTACCGTTCCCATCTTTTCTAATCTACACAAGCACCATCTTGTTTCATGCCAGGCCTTAGCCCTTGTCGGGTTTTTATGAGGATTCAATGACACAGCCATGTCACAGCTCTCAGCAGGGTGTTGGCCACTTCATGAACACCTGTCAGCACTGGCTGGGTTTTACTCATTCCACCCGCCTTCCCCGTGGTGGCAGCTGGTCCCTGCAGTGTCTCCAAACCCCTTCGGTGTACCAGGGCCCAGCTTCGTGTTCAGCCACTGAGACTGTACCTCTTCATCTGGCACAATCTAGGCTTCCCTCCCGGTGGCAACCCGAGCCTTTCATCTGAGACCAGCTGTGTCATTCAGCTCACCCGGTGCGGGCGTTGGATGCAGACAGCAAACTTCTTCAGTTCATGCTCTTAGACACGCTTACTCTGCCATGCTTACCAACAGTGGCTTGATTTTAATAAGCCTGCGAGAAGCCCTTGCAGGAAGGTGGTGCCGAGCATAACTGCCCCGTGCTCGCTGCAATGACCCCCTCCTCTCGTTCCAAGCCCAGAAAGCATTAATGACTCAGGCTTGATGTTCCAAAGGAAACCTCTGTGGCTGTGCCGGGGGAAACCACTCGACCCGGGGTTACAAAAACACCTCAGCAGTTAGCAGGTGTTGGAGACTAGGTTGCATCCCCTCTAAATTCGTATGTTTAAACCCTAATCCCCCACGTGACTGTTTTTGGACAGAGGGCCTTGAAGGAGGTATTTATTTAAATGAGGTCATGAAGGCGGGGCTCTCATCCAATCAGTGGTGTCCTTATAAGAGAAGGAGACACCAGGGATGTATGTACACGGAGAAAAGGCCATTGGAAGATGCAGTGAGAGGTGGCCACTGCAAGCCAAGGAGAGATGACTGAAGACACCCTGCCAATACCTTGATTTTGGACTTTAGCCGCCAGAAGTGCGAGAAACAGATTTCTGTTGCTAAGGCACCCAGTCTGCCGTGGCAGCCCGAGAAGATGAATGAACAGAGCAGGCCTGGGCTTAGGGCGGGTGTGGCCCAGGCCGCTGCACAGGGCCCCACACTCTCAAGGCCCCCGCGCTTGGTTTGATGATCCTCTGCTGCCACCTTGGAATTCCTAACCAGTTTCGAACAAGGGGATGCACATTTTCATTTTGTGTAGGGCCCTGAAAATCACGTAGCCAGTTGGCAAAATTGGCCAATAACTTTGGCAAAATCTAGGTGTCGCTTATAACCTAGAAAAGACAAGAGGCATCTTAAAAATTCCAAGCTCTCTTATTCTAGGTCTGTGTTTGAAATGCTATTTTAAAGGAATCTTAAATGTTTATTTTAGAAAGGCAATCAAGTATCTATTGTGGGTGTACCTTTTAATGACCAGAAATATTTGACCCAGTTACAAGTGTAGCTGGGATATTATTCACTTTATGAGCTGGCAAAGCTTGGTCATATCTATTCAGGCAATCTCATGTGGGTAATTAGGGTGCAGAAAAAAGACAACCTAAGATTGTTCTATTCTCTCCATTATATAAGCCATGGAGACAGCAGACGGGGACGTTCAAATGATCAAGAAAGGCTGCATAGCAGTCCTGCTGCAGTTCAACAGCTGCATGCTAATTCTTCGCTCTGTCCTGGATGAACCCGACCGACTATTTTCCTATTAGTAACTGTTATCATTTTATGTTTCAATCTGAAGATTGGTCTTTTCTGCCAATTAGAAGCCAGAATACGCTCTATCCTTCCGAGAGCAAGGTTCAGCAAACTGCAGTGCCAGGCCAAGTGCCCGGGGTCAGATCCTGCTCCTACCAAGTTTTATATAAACGGCCACGCCCATCTGCTTGTATCATCTGCACTGTTCTGTCACTACAATGGTGAAGTTGAGAGCTGCTCCGGGGACACTATGGCCCACAGAGCAGAATATACATAGTTTCACTCTTTACGGAAGAAATTTGTTGACTCTTGTCCTACAGGAATTTCTCTCACTGAAGGGCTTCTCTTCATCAAACAGACTCTGAGCTTCATGGACACAGGTCCCGCATCTGTCACAATTCCCCACTGGCTCTTACAGTTGCCCACAGGACCTGACCGGAAGGGCCTGTTGACCATCAAGTCCACAGTCAGCTTGCCCCCCGCCCCAGATCCAGCCCCGGATCCCGCCCCGGATCCCGCCCAGCCACAGCTGCCGGCTTACTTGTTACTGCTGAAGCTTTGGTTCCATCTTCACTGACTTCAATTTTCGCTTTTTGCAAGATGTGAGAAATATGAAGGTTTTCTGACCCTGTTTCCAGAAAATAAGACAAAAACAGCATTTGTTTGATAAGCAGACCATCTGTTTGGCTGGAAAAGGAACCTCAGCCGTGGCAAATGCCAATTCTCAAAAGCAGTCAGAGAAGTGACCTCTTCCAGTCTCGGTGATTAAAGGCTGTGGGATGACTGTCCCCACAGTATCTGCCATGTGAACTGTGATGTCACTTACGGGGAGGGAGTCCCAGACTCCAAAAATGTTAGTGCCTCTGGCAATTCAACTCCGATCACTAAGGATTTTATTTAAAAAAAGAAAAAGAGCAGAGCTTGGAAAGGGAAGCCCAGCTTTCCAGAAGCAGCAAGGCCACATAATTTTTCACTTGCACGATGTCGGAGCCAGGAAGGATTCCAAATGGTATTTATAGAAGGGGAAACTGAGGCCCAGAGTGTTAAAAAAAATCTGCCCTCAGATCACACAGCCACTGAGTGGCGGAGTCAACGCAGGCTTTTTCCTCCCACGGGCATGTGAGTGAGAGAGGAGGGCCAAGTATGAGGAGAGTTCAGACTGTTGCGAGGGCCAGACTCAGAAACTCAGAAACGCAGTTTTGCCTAGACAGGGGTCTGGATGCGCAAGGAGACCAGGCTTTCTATGTCACCTCGTTTTATTTCATTTTACTTTTTGAATTTATCGGGGTGATGAGTTAGTAAAATTATACAGTGTTCAGGTGTACAATTCTACAATCCATCCACTGTATATTGTATTGTGTGTTCACCACCCACATCCATCATCCGGTTTTACATGGTCCACATTGATATCTGGCTCCAACACGACCGATGGTGAGAGAGAGGCACCTTTGCAGGGCCCAAGTCACCTGCAGGGTTAAACAGGACATCTCAGGAGGATTTGGGGCACCTGGTCATCCCTCTGAACACCTGTGAACTCCTGGGGACACCCTGTAGCACTGAGGCTACCCAGGGATAACCCTGAAGGAGAATGTGCAGCTTAAAATAGTGCATCTCAAATGTTATTGGGCTGAAGAGTTTGGTAAAGTGAAGATTCTGATTCAGTAGGTTTGGGTCAGATCCAACATTGCGCATTTCAAACAAGCTCCCAGGGGACGTGAACGCCACCAAACGAAATGGGGAGCAGTGTTTGTCTAACAGGAGGAGACTACCAGAATATTCACGGGGCTGCAATTTCACCAGGAGGTCAAGTTTATTCCAGGGGGAGCACTCGGGCATTCACTAGCAGGCAATGATTACGGCTCAATCACATCGTTGAATAATACGTCAAATTACACCAGGAAAGTTTTAGGGCAACACATTCCTAACTGTGCCCTTTTTTCTTCTGAACAAATCAGAGGCTCAGTTTGCAACACAGTCTCCAAGAGTAAGAATAAGTTTTAAACTGCACGTACTTGTTATTTTTGCAAAATTTGCCTTTGATGGATCAAACATCTCGGTGATGCCAAGGACCTTCAGCGGCTCCTTCAGATCTGTCTGAGCTGCAGCTGTGAACCTATCACGAAGGCAGAAAATGGAAAATCACCAGACTATAAACGATACGATCAGTGCCAGTGGGAAATGTTTACAGACACTTTTCTACGCAAGCCCTGAGCACCCATTTAAACAAATTTACTGTGTCGTAAATTTTGATTCCAGGCTAAGTAGAGAACAACTCAAGCCCTTGGCTGGCATTAGAAGCACATGGAGTGACAGCAAGTAGGGCCCATCCCACCCTCCTGTGTAACAGGCCCCTATTCTAGGCTCGGGAGGACCCACAGAAGCACCTTCCCTTGTGCTGATGGGGAGACGCGGGGTGATGACAAGTGTCCGCACTCTGCAATGCCTACAGTTCTCCCCCATGTCCAACCAAAGAGCTATCACCTTGGCTGCTGTAAGAACCACCATTCTTACTGGGACAGGGGATGGTCAAAAGAGAGGAGATACCTTCCTAGTGCATGGTGGGATTCTGAAAGCCTCTTACTGTTAAAATGAGAGAAAAACCTGCCATAGATCGCATCCTGTGGGAGAGCAACAGGACAGGTGAACAGATTCTCATCACAGATGGGCTGCGATGGTGATTTACCATTATAATGGTCATTCACCTGCAAGGTCAGCAACTGATTCAATGATATCAAGCACTACCTATGTGAAGGCTTATTTTATAACAAAAAATGTTGGGAGGATTACTAATACTTATTACCAATGTGCTTCTCTGATTCCTTAACTCCGTGACTGGAAATGAAAAGCTGTTAGAACTGGGAGGTACCATCCCCACACCACTGAGGTCTGGGTGGTTAAAAAAGCCCTAGAGACAGGCCAGACACTAATGTTAGAAAGGCCATAAAAAGGGGTCCTTCACCGGTCTGGGCAAAGCATGCTCTGACCTGCTAGAAATTAGGATTCACATAGAATCTTGGATTATTTCCCCCTTGGATTCAAGTCTCAACAGCTCAAATTCCATCTCTCTTATACTTCCAGGGTGTAAGAGAAAAACTTCCCCTAGCCTGTAATGTACGAATTCTGCCTGGTAGTTTGAAAATACAGTGGAACCTTGGTTCTTGAACTCAATTGTTCCGCAAGGCTGTTCGAGAACCACACTGTTCGAGATGGGAGATGTTGAAGAACTGAAGGTTGGCTGTATTTCCTAGCTTTTGGACCTTTGTTTTGAGCCACTTCCAGCTAAAACTTAAGTCACTGCGATGAAGCTCCTTATAAAAAAAAATGAACAAGACTCTACTGTAATACCATCACATGACTATGACAGCACGCATGTGCTTTTCAGTCTTTGAACAGAAGGAGGGGTGTTACGAGCTTGTGGGTTTATGTCGGCCAGAGGCTAGCTGCCCTCTCTCCCTCTCCACGGTCGTTAGCCTGCCACAGGGATAACCCAGAGGCGCAGGGATGGCGACAGACCTTTGCAGGAGCACGGCCTTGCATTCCTGCCCTGCGGATTCTGCACCACGAACAGGCTGTGCGGCAGGCCCAGTCTTAGCCTCATGTTGTCCGGTGCAGACACGATCACTACCGAGGACTGAGCACTTTCTCCTGCAGGGGAGCCACTTACTTGGGCAGGACGACCTGCACCCTCTTGGGCACCATCATGCTGGTCCAGCTGTCGACGGTCTTGGTGTTGATGTGAGGGATGATGGCGGAGAGCGGGGTGGAGCTCTCGCTCGGCAGCGCGATCAGCATGCTGATGCTCTCCCCGTGGTAGGGCAGCTCGATGAAGTTGTACCACAGGCCGTTGGGGGTGCTTGCCGACCCTAGAGAAAGCAGAGGCAGGGTCAGTGTGTCCTTGATGAACGGCGAACGTGGTGTGAGTGATTGCTGATCACTGGGGGGGGCTTCAGAGGGAAGAGCTCGGTGCAGTTTGAGAACTTCCCTTTCCCAAAATTAGCTTCCTCGGGAGACAAGGGTAAGCACAGCTGTTTCTTCCTTTCCTGGTAAAGAATTGCCTTTCTTCAGTTTCGACATGTTGTGACTGTCTGCCTTTGGGCAGCACTAAAATTGCATGAATTCTGTTGAGAAGAATTTAACTGGGTCATAGGGCACTTAGCATGCAATGCTTTGTGAGAACTTGACCCTCAGCAGCGGAATAAAGGGATGAATCTGAGCTGCCGTAGAAGGATTCTCTGGCCGAGCCTACGTGTGCAAGCAGAAGAGGAGGGAGGGGGGAGGGGATACAAGCAGCTCCCACTGTCTAGGGCCAACTCTGTGCCGGGCCCATACCGACCACTTCGACACGTTTCGAATCCACAGTGCCCCCCGAGGGAGGCAGAAGCAATCTACACTACTGCGGACAAAGCTACAATTAGAGAAATTATATAACTTGCCGACAGACACGTGGCTAAGAAGTGGAGCTCCAGAACTCGGGCTCACTGTATCGAATGCCAAACAAAGACCGTCTTCCTACTTCACTAGGCTGACTCCCTGCTCGCTCCTCATTCAGTCCATTAACTATCATTAAGGCTCTTAGATACTTTATGGTACTTGTTCTGATGAATAAAAACCCAAGAATGATTTAAACCAGCATTTGTCAAAATGCTGTCTAGAGAACACACAACTTGCAAGATTCTCGGCAAACTGGGTTCCATATCCCAGTAAATCTAGGAGGTGCTAGGTCCTTGACTCTTATAGAAACTGCAGTGTCAATATTATAAAGGCTCTGAGATATTCTGAATGAAAGCTGTTTAACTCTAGTTATCCCCAGGTTTCCCAAACTAACTGGATCTTAAATATTGAAGACATTTAGCAACTGAGCAGCACAGCTCATGGGGACGGGGCCCAGAGCGGCTCCTAACCCCTTCGGATCCCATGAAGTCTTTACATTCAGCTTATAATGACCAAGTTCCAAAAATGAATGAAGTAAATGGAAAACCAGCACTTCTAGACTTATGGGAGATTTCTGAAAAGTTTTATTAAGCACACGTCAAACTTTTTAAGAAGAACCTGGTGACCTTGGTGTGGTCATTTAACCTCTGGGTGCCTCCTAGCATAGAGGATGGAGGCATGGGAGACGTTAACAGGGTGTCCCTAATAGGGCTGTTTAGATGAGTAAATGAGAAAAACATACGTAAGGGACTTAGCAAGGCCTGGCCTATCGTGGGTGCCCCCTGAGCTCCTCTTCCTCCTCCTCTCAGTGACCTAGAAGGACACCATATTTAAGGAAGACTGAAATGAGAAAGCAATTTCTCTCGCGATTTTCACTGTCTTTTCTTTGGGGATGACAATCTTTGCCAATCACTGCACCTGAGATGGGTAACATCAATAAGCCACAGATGGGGGTGGGGAGGGAGATAGTGAACTTTGTGCTTGTTACATACCAAACACTTTTAGCTGTGAAATACAACAAAAATAGCGAAGCAATTAGAACGTTGGACACTACGGGATGACACTGCCGATCTGCTTCTGAAAGAATAGAGAACCCTTCACCCCCACTTCTGCCCCATGCCACACAACGGTCTCCGCAGAAACTGAAAAATCAATGGAAAGTGAGAAAAAATTACTTCCTAATAAGCCCTTTAATCCTCAAAGAAAACATTCAGTCCCTACTCTGGCAGAGCTAATTTTTAGAAACTGAGAAACTTGGGAAGTAGTTATAAATGATTACTCCAGGGCGTGAAATGAGAACCTGGAGGCAGTCATTACCCACTTCCCGAAGTGCTTAATGTTCAGAAAAGAACCGGGGTCACGAAGAATAAAAACTTATGAGCTGAGGCTGTTCAAGGAGGGAGACGGCATCCACTTCTTCCAGTTAATCCAGCCTCGACTGGAGACATCATCAACTACCTCAGCATCCAGCTGCTCTCGTCTGCCCAGTGATTCACTTCTCCCCGCCCCCGCCGTCTGCCTCTGATCTCAGGAGCTGATGGCAAACGTCAGCTGGGATGCCTCAGGGCATACCCCTCCCCGCTTATCTGTACTGGGTGGCTCGAGGGGCCAGGAGACAAAATAACACCCGTCCTCTCCTTCCACTCCATCACTAAAGAACTGTCGATTTTCACAGTGTCATCTTATGGAGGGCAGGTGCAGAGGTCAAAGACACAAGACCTGGAGTTATAAAACCTGGATTCAAATCCTGGCTCTGAAATACACTCTCTTGGGGACTTGGGCAAATTTCGTCACTCCGGGTCTTAGTTTATGTAGCTGTACAATGGGTTAACAGTACCCACGTTACATAACTGTGAAAACTAAGTGAGAATACACATCAGCCCAGGAGCCACAGGTGTGGCTTTCACCTCCGGTGGCTTCACTTCTTGAGTATTTGGTTGCTGCTCAAACTGTTGAAACCCAGAGTTGATCCACCAAGAGAAACCGCACGGGCTGCAGGCAAGCACAGTGCCTGGGCAGAACGCAGCAGAGACGGAAAGGGTGTTGGGAAGCTGGCGTCCGGGCGGAGAGCCTGTCAGTCCCAGACTGCCTCCCTCCGAGCGTCCTGCCGGAGGCCCTGCATTCTGCGTCCTGCGGGGGGCAGCCCGAGTGGGCTTGAATGAGGACAATCAGAGGATGCAGCAGCCTTGTTCGTTCTGAAGGGAAGGGAAGACGTGAAAAGGGGAAAAGCAGCCTTTGCTCTTAGGTGAACGGGGATCAACAAAGCTCCCCGTTCATGAGAAATAAAAGGCAGAGAATCAAATATTTAAGATGCAGAGAAGATTTAGAACTCTCTGTCAGTGGTGCTTTGGGGCTGAGCCAGCTTTTCTGGAAAGCTCCCTAAAATACCCCAATTCCTACTGTAAATCCTGTAAGGGAGGAAGCAGTAACCGGGCTGGATGAAATGCTAAGATTCCTTATCAGCATGTAACGTCAGAGAGATCACAAGGCCCGGCACAAATTATACCACTTGTTTATTACAAAATCATAAGCATGTACTCCTGTAACATAACAATATCACGCTCAAGCACACCATATGACATTTTAGGTGAAATGTTCAAACTGAAACTATAAAATATTACACCCATATTATTACATTACCAACCATACTCAAGCAGGCATTACTTCTGTCAGACCCTGTATTTTTTTAGGACTTTTATTTATTTTTAGAGACAGGGAAAAGGAGGGAGAAGGAGAGAGAGAAAAACACCCAACACATGAGAGATACATCGACTGGTTGCCTCTCATGTGCCCCGAACTGGGGACCTGGCCCGCAACCCAGGCATGTGCTCTGACTGGGAATCAAACCAGTAGCCTCTTGGTTTGCAAGCCAGCACTCAGTCCACTGAGCCACACCAGCCAGGGCTGGACGTGTACGTTAAATATTTACTATCAGGAAAGCTGGATGAATGAACGCTCCTCTAATTACTTTCTACTACAAGTAACCGAATGGATTTCCCAGTCTCTTAGGGAACTGTTCCGGCTATACTTCAGTAGATCCTGAAATGCACATTTAAAAAACACAAGAGACAGCACCACCGCCTGTGGTCTGTCTTCAGGCTGGAGCAGAGGGAATCTGGGGGGAGTGGACGGGGAGGGCGGATGGTTTGAGCTGCCGGGTGAGCGCAGGCGCCCTGTGCTGAGCTGAGCACTGGGCCGAGAATCGGGTGGCTGAGGACAACAATGCATTTCTCTGTGGAACTAGAGCTTCCTGGACAACCAACCAGGGAAGGAAAATGAACAGGTAGGTCCGAGTGGGAAGCACAGGGGAGGGCGGCATCTAGAAATATACTGATACACACACACAAACATGCACGTGTATTTCTGGAATTCTGTGCGGTCTTTAAAACAAAACTCTACATCTAAATTCACAACCATAAAGATGAAAAGTTTGAAACTACTTGGACTCAGCGATGCTGTTCAAGGACACTGCCTTTAGAGGTCCTGACGCAGGTGCCTACCCCTCTGTGTACAGGTGTGGGCACCGCCGTGCTGTTTGTTACAGGGAAAACTTAAGGCTGCCCCCGGGGAGCAGGGATGCATTTACACTGTGGAGTAGAAGGCAGCTGATAAACGGATCACATAGATCCACAGGAACTCACATTAAACATTTTATAAGACACGCTGTCTAATGAATAAAGCGGACTGTAGAACAGAAATGACGGTGTAGTCTTATGTATGCCCAAAAGCCTCTTGGGCATGTTTTACACACCCACAGAAAAGATCTCAAATGCCATACCTAACACTTAGTAAGGGCTTTTATGCTGGAAATGGAATAGTAAGGGGACATTTACTTTCTGCCTTATGTATGTTGTATTTGAGGATTTTGCAATAAGCATGAAATATACTTCTAGTAAAAAACAGATTTTCAGGCTTTTGAAATGGGAAAATGTCTTTCCTCAAAGCGTTTCTACGTTACCGGACAGAGGTGAGAAGGTTTCCCTTCCTCTTCCACTGTCTGTCCTCCCCCTTAGGGTTACTAAGTGAACCTTCTCAGAGGCCTTGATGACGTCTTGGGGGAAAAGACGGAAAGGCTGATGATAAATGGGATGGTGAAGTTTCTGCCGAGAGACCAAGAACAGAAAGGCTTGGTGACCAGCGGCCGTGTGCGTGGGCTGGAGCTGGGTCTCACTGGGACTGCCAAGCCCTGAGCCCGGGCTGGTCGTGGTGGCCCTGTGACGAGCCAAACCTGCCCATCTTTCTGTGAAACGGGGTTTGATGGAGGGATTACTTCTAAAGCACGGGCAGAGTACAAAGAAACCATTAAGGGCAGCACCCTGGGCTACAAGCGGTGGGACACCCTGACCAGCCTTGGGCTGGGAGGGGTGGGAGCAGGTGAAGTGACCCCTCCCTCACCTTTTGGTTGTGCCCTGATGGCAGAAGCTAAGTGAGACCTTGGTGGAGAGATGCAGGGCCCTGGTGACTTCTGAGAGGGCAGGGAAGTCAGGGGCCCAACCCCTCTCTCCCCCTTATCCCTGTCACCTGCTGGTTTGTCCCACTAGCCAACACGACAGGAAGCCAGGGGGCAAAGGAGCCCACGGGTGTAGCCCCTGGGGCTCAGGACAGGGTGGAGAGGGGAGGGCGCAGATCGGGGAGGGAAGAGGTCTGCCACGGACGCTGTACAGAGCATGAACCCCTGATAACAGCAATGTATTTGTACACCGCTTCCTGCAAAACACACACGCCCGTCCTTAGACAAAGGAGTTCTGAACTGAAACGCTTCGGGGCGGCGTAGCTTCCTCTCAGGGAATGACTTATACACTCGAGAAGAGCGCGTTCACAGCCATTCCTGGAAACGCAATCATTTGAATCTTTCATGGGAATGCCTGTAGAATTCCTTGCCTTTTCATCTTGGACTACTAACTTATTTGTCAGGGTTTTTGTTTTTTTCCCAGCAATAAAAACGTACAGTAAATGAGCCCCCCTTGCTTTTAATGCTGTTAGAATGCAAAGCGCGCACCAAGATAGAAAGAAACGGCTCCTCTCTGGAGCTGTGCTGTGGCCATACTGGCGTTCCATCGACAGTGACTTCGGGGCAGAAGAGCCTTTTATTATTCTTGGGGGCTTCTCGAGGTTATGTTTCTGCAGGGTTTTTAAATATATATTATCTTTTTAAAAAATTTATCGCATGAATGGCGAAATTTCACTAGGAAGGTTGACGCATGACAAGTGAGAAGGGAAGGGACTTTGTTTACTGCGTCCCTCTTGTGAGTCACTCCTTAAGTCAAAGAACAGGGCAGCTGGGGAGAGGCTGGGCAGTGCCTGAGGCTCACAAATGCACAGTGTGCAAAGGAAATGCCTGGGACCCTGGGCCCAGGCTGGAGACAACAAGGCGAACTCATGAAGTAGAAAGAAGAGGAGCTTCGGTTGGACCACAGATGCTTCAATAAAACCAGGTGTAAAAAGCAACCTTTGTGATCTACGGTGTAGCAATGACGGCAGAGATGGGCCGTGCGTTTTTCCTGACTGCAAAATGAACACACATTTCTGAAAATTTCTAACGGAACTATAGAGAAACTACCACTGTTAACACTGAATCGAACATCCTCCAACACAGATCGCTACAGATGTACGAATACAGAGCAAGGATCCTACTTAAATGAGATGAATCGGCACCTGTTGTCCTATCACTTGTTGTCTGAAGTCAGACATGTATTACAGTCTTTATACAAAACTAAATCTAACTATCGAACCTGCTCCACTATGTGTGTGTATCTGGCTGCCACTTGTCTGCTAGTGTGTGACTGTCTTCAGCACGTCGACTTCCCGGTGCGGGACTGCCGGGACAAGGGCTCTGGCAAGTCCTCTGGAGCACGGCTCCCTGTCACCAACCGTGCTCGGGGCGTCCACATCTCCCACCTACAGCCACCACTGTGGGCTTTCTCCAGCTTCATAATTCTTGCTAAATCGACACATGGAAATCTAATTTGTGCTTTTTTTTTAAAATAAAAATTTATTTATTTTTAGAGAGGGGGAAGGGAGGGAGAAAGAGAGGGAGAGAAACATCAATGTGTGGTTGCCTCTCATGAGTCCCCCACCAGCTAACTGTCCCACAGTCCTGGCATGTGCCCTGACTGGGAGGGAGTCAAACTGGCAACCCTTTGGTTCGTAGGCCGGTGCTCAACCCACTGAACCACAATAACCAGCACTAATTTTTGCTTATTTTTAATTTCGTAATGTAAGATAGCCAATGATGAGTTGATAATGCTGTTACATGTTTAATGCCCATGTACACTAACTTCATAAATTATTCTTTCCTCTTTACATTTTCAGCCTAAAAAGCCTCTATGTGTTACATGTTGATACATGACCTTCACAAATAATACAAAGAGTACCCTGAGCTGTTTTTTTTTCTTTTTTAAATCCTGCCCTGCCCTCCCTTGCTCTTTCAAAATATAAAAATAAAAGGCAGGTTTGCCCTTGAACTCAGTGAAAGCAGTCACGGAGTCCTTTCCCTGCTCTGCAGTGAAAAGCATCTGCTTTGCAGCCGGTCCTTTTGGCAGAATGGGGCCTCGAACGCGTGGACTCACCGCTCCGGAACAGAGAGAGCTGGGCCAGCATCGGCACCTGGTAGGACTTCCCATCAGCTGCCATGAACGGACGCTTCTTTGTGTTCTCGGGTCGAAACCGTGATTTCCACAAACCCTTAAAATACAGGGCGTTGACCAGGACCATTCTGGTGAGCGCGCCGTCGATGAGGTCTGGGGAGAGCAGGTTGTCGATCTTGCCTGTGGGGCCACAGAACAGAGAGGAAACTCAGGGCTCAGGTCACGGGAGGGCAAGGGCAGCTGCTGGGTCAGGTCGATGGAAAGGTCAAAGGACTTCTTAAAAGATTTGAAGAAACAATTTTTCACAACACCCTTTGTGCACTCTAATTCTTTCTCCTCACTAAAAATTAAAACAGAAAACGAGTTAAAACTCAGAGACCAGAGGAGACCCTCCAGGTAGGGATCACTAAACGTTTCATCAGGGAATTCTTTTGTACCTGTTCTCTCTCAGCCCCACGCTTTAGAAAACTTCACTCATCCAAACAAACTGCATTTAATTATTCATGAACTTCCCTCTTTTTGCTAATATCTGATGATCAGTGAGGGTGTCTGTTCAGCACAAGATCAGCAGCTGCGCTGTTTCAACCACTGAGTTGATCTAACCCCAGTCTAGATAAAGGAACACTATGCCCTGTAATGATCGAAGGTAAATGCTTAATTTCCCTTGAGATTTTGCAAATGTTGAGCGTTCATTTGTGACCTGTGGTTAAAGAAGAGCCGAAGTTAAAACTGACGTCTATGTTTACAGGTCAGGGGTCAAGCTAGGTGGTCATAGCACAGCGGTGAAAAGAAGGGAGGCCTGTTCTAGAACTCCCAATCTTGAAGAAAAATGATCTTCACAAGACACGGGGAGGGTCCACCTTGCTTGTGTCGGGAGTGCAGGAGCTACAACCGTCGTTCTAGGGTGCTCCCGTGACGTCACAAAGATGCTTCCAAGTGCCACCTGAGTTTGACACTTTGGTTTTCCGTTTAGGTTCCTTTGGCCCCAGATTGGAAGAGTCTGCGTGTGTGTGTGTGTGTGTGTGTGTGTGTGTAGACGTCACTAACACCCAAAGCTATTAAAATGAGTTCAGTGCAGCGTTCAGCCCAAACATATTTAAAAGAAACAAAAGAGTGCATAATATAAATGCGAGTTATAATGTATTAAATGGTGAGAGTAAAACCAACGGTTTCTCAAGAAGCAAGAACATCTAACTCAGCAGGGAGAGCTTTAAGTTCTTTTAAATGAAGGGCAAGAAGATTCCCACGTACAATAAGCAAATGTTTAAGTGAATTGTGGTGGAGAAGCAGACCTAGGTTTCCCTGGCCCACAGTGTGCTCAGTGCGACAGGTTCGTGACCACTCCTTCCTTCCACAAGGGGGCACCATCGCCACCTTACCGCAGGATGGGAAGGAAAAAGGCCTACACTATAAATAGCTGTTTCTCAACGCAAGGCCTGCCTCCGGGAACAGACTGGGAAGGAAGTTAGAACCCTGTGCTTAGAGTTGATTCCCCCACAGTGAATGTCTCTGCCTGTCCTGGGAACATCACCCAGTCCAGCCCCTGCCTGCCTTCCAGATGTAGCTCACCGGCTCCTTCTATACACCTTTCTGACCCTCCGTACCCCTCCGAGGAGTTGCTATTAAGCCCAATTCTCAGCACCACCCTGACACCACGGTATTTTATCCCAGACAAATCTAACGTGTCTGCCTCCTCCACGTGAACTACGACCTGCACAAGGACAAGGACCTGTCACTCATCTCTTAAAACCCCATCCAGCTCTCTGTTCGGCACACGGTCAGTGCTGAAGAAACCTCTTTGGACCTTTTTTGCTAAGGTAAATAAAACCTCTGATTGCCACTGGTAGGACTGAGATAGTCCCAGGAGGTATGAAGAAATGAAAAGAAATGATAAGGAGAGACAGGGAAGAAATGCGTATTTTAGAGACAAAGGAGGCATTCGGGGCACCTCCCATTGATAACTGCAGTAAACGCGCACCCATCATCCGTCTGCATGTCCACACACACACACTCCCCACCCTCTGCCCCATCCGTCCTTAGATGCCTCCCTCCCAGGTGCCATCAGGTGCCATGTACTCTCTTAGATAAGAAAACGAAACCAAAAAAAAGGAACTCTGACCTCAAAGAGCTGTGTACCTGTGAGGTGGAGGCTGACATAATTGAACTTGGAAAAGAGTAAAGCTGAAGTTGTAACGACTACCTTCACGGGGAAGTACTCAAGGACGTGAGTGCAAAACAAGGGGAGTCTGACCTGTCAGCAAGGTCAGGGATGGATGGGTGCCTTGAGGAAGCTAAACTACTTGAGTTAATGGCTATAAAAATAGCTCACACGTGAACATTTGCTAAGTGCCGGGCACTTCAATAAATGCTGTACCTGTATTATCTTTATCCTCATAACAACATCAATGTTGTTATAACTCTTCTTGTAGTATCACTGGATGTCTCCATTTTACAGATGACACTGAGACACAGGGAGGTCAAATAACTTGCATAAGTTATTTGGTCACACAGCCAATAAAGGGCAGAACTGAGATGCAAACTCAGACCTCAATGCTTTTAACTATGATGTTATTCGTGGAATAGTGTGAAAGTGAATGGACATTAACAAGGGGCAGGGGAGGGTTCCAGGTGGTGCGATGCACATGTGGGGGGTGTGAGAGGAGAGAAGGTGAGGCTGCAGAGAGGTGGGGGGGCAGCCCCGCGGGGCGCGTCCCCAGCACACTGGAAAGGGCCGCTGTGTTGGTTCTCACTCTCTGCAGGGCAGGTGCCGCCTCTACAAAACCAACTTGGCGGTCTTCGCACATGGACTGTTCAGTCTCCAGGGTTTTTCTGAGACCTGTTATGTAGGCAATTACTTCTCAGAGGGGCAGATCACCCCAGCTGGCAGTCTGGAAATTTGTGGGAACATTTCTGGTTAAGTGGGCAGTAGCCAGAGATGGGGCATGTCCTGAATATTCCAAAACAGTCCTGAAACAATGAAGAGTTGTCCTCCTCCTGCATAACTTTCAAACACCCTGATGGACAGTCACATTGGTGACACATCTGTTTACCATTATCTGAGCCCAGAACCTTCTTCTTTTCCATGTAAACACACGTATCTTTGGGGGGCACACCTTTACTGTGCATTGAATTTGCCAGGAATGTGACGACCATGCAAATCGAACAGAGACTAGACTGACTTTACTTGGAAATGTACTGAGAGTGTTGCACCATTTTAGAAAAACATTGCATCAATGATGGTCATGCAACTTGTGGTTTTCATGCCATGGGTACCTCATACTTGCCTTGGTCCGTGCCCCTGGGTTTACCTGTTGAACTACATATATAAATGGCTTTTGTTGTTCCTTATAATACAGTTTGACATTCCCCATATTAACTTTTAAAGTTTTGTGAAGGTTATATTAGGTGTATACTTCAGGACAGTAAAGAGAATATTAAAAATATTTGTTTAAAAATAGGGAGTTGGGTCTACAGGCTTGAAAAGCGCTGCTTGGGTCTCGTTACTCTCAGTTCCCCAGAGAAGCGGCGCGTGAAGCGGTTGATGGACAGGATGTGCATCCAAGTGCTTTGACAACTGGTGAGTGGTATACTCACGTGACCTAACATGACATAGTACGTTAGGGGGCTGGGGGTTCACACCACGGTCAGACTGCCGTCTAGCAGCTCGTGACCTCAGCGTCCTAGCACTGTTCTTCGGACCACAGGCTCAGAAACACCTCTAAACCCTTCACGTTTGTTGGTCTCCTGATGGTTTCATTACTGCGCTGTCCAGGATCCTGCTGAGAAGGGACGCCATGGATTTCCCCAAACCAGCCTGGCTCTCGTCCACCCTCCAGCATCCCTTGTCTATCTCCTCACTAGTCCCTTGAAAGGTTACCAAACGCTCACAGGTAAGTCTGGTGATGGGTGGTGGAGGTAGACCGAGGAAGAACTAGTTTTAATGCAGCATGTTAGGCCCCTCCCTTGCAGACTCTGACTCAGCAGGTTGGGCCTGGTGGTCTGTGTTGCAAACATATAGCCCAAGTAGCTCTCACGCAGTGCATCAGGAACACGTTTTACATGAGCCGAGAGCCGGAGTTCCCCCAAGTTTTGTCTTCCAGCTTCTCCCTCTGAGTCTCTTTTGCTGCTTCTCCTGTGCCCTTGACCTTCCCTTCTGTGACAAACGGTCCCCAAATCTACATTTCTAGAGTTCACTTTCCTCTGTCGTTCTGGACTGCCTCTCCTCCTGGATGGTTTCACCTGGGCCTCCAGTTTACAAATTAACAGGTTTGAAATGCGTGAGACATCTGCTCGGTTTCACGGGAGAACAGAGGCAGGTGAACAAGTAATCGTCGTGCAGGGTGGCAGTGCTATAATGAAGGAGCAGAGACGAGGCACAGTCATCTGCCCATTACAACCAGAGAGGGGGCACCTACTGCCTGAGAGCACAGAAGCAAGAGGCAGGGAAGGTGAGAGGGATCAGTCCTGAATCTTAAAGGCCGAGAAGGACATTCCAGGCATAGGAGACAACAGATACCAAGCAGGAAAGAATAAGCAACAAAAATTTCGAAACAGACAAGGGCCAGTGGGCAAGGGCTTCAGGGATGAGACGCAGTGAGAAAGACCCCCAGGGGACATGAGAGGAGTCGTGAAAAGAGAAGGAAGGCAGGCGGAGGTTGCGGGGCCTGGTCAAAAGGAAACAAGTGGTCAGCAGGGCCCTGGCCTTGCACGGCAGAAGGCCCCGTGGACTTGCAGGCACGAGGCGGAATCTTAGAGTCCGGCTCACACGTTCATTCACAAAGTGTGAAGTCACCCAAAATGACTGCCCCGGAAACTGTGAGCACTCACCCCTGGTTTCGTTTTTAACCCACGCGTTGATGGAATCGCAGGCGGAGGCTGGATCCTTGAAGTTCACGTTCCGGACTTCGCACTGAAACACATCCTTGTTCCTCGTGACAAAAGGCATCTCGATCTTAGAGCCATTCTTCACGAACATCGCGTTAGCCACCGTCACAGTATCTTTGTTCTTCTTGGAGACGATGGCCTTATTGATCTTCTTCAGCGTTTTACCAACTCCTGGGGGCGCGTGAGAAAACATGGCAATATTTCCATGAGAATTCTCAAAAGTTACTTTTTGAGCTATCTCCTATCTTATGGCAAATAACAACAGTCTGAACAAGACAATGTGAGTAGAAGAGATTGTGTTTTTTGCTTTCTCAGTGTCCTTATGTTAATTAAGGAAAGGGAGGAATAAAGTACAACTATTACTAGGCCTTAGAAGTCCGTTTTTCTTTGAGCATCAAATCGGGCACATTCAAGGCAGTCTCTGCACCTTCCCTACGTGGCCCTCGTCCTCCTGGAGGGCCTTCCCGGTACCAGGGCAACAGGAAGACCGGCAAGCTCCTCGATTATGGAGCCTCGAAGGGCGACATGAAAGGAATCTTCCCGAACCATTCTCCTTCTCACTTAAGATCCCGACTGCTCTTCCCTTTCCTGCCAAAGATTTAGCACTGTGATTCTCTTTTTCTAGTTTGGAAATAAAAATGAATAAAATAAGCGTTCGAAAGACTATAAAAAATGGCCATGTGCCACCATCCGAGAACAATGTGGTTTTTACTTAATATCAGGCTCAAAAAGTAAGGGGATTAATTTTATGGCAGCGTGAGATTTATTTTCCGTGAGCCATTCACGCACGCTTCGTTTGGTTTCAGAGCGTGGGGAAGAGGGAAATAAGTTACAAGGACGACACGTGTTTATATAAAGAGCTTGTTACAGACCCTTCTTACTCGCTTTACTGAATGACACTGTCCTGAAATGCCCTGCAGCGTGACCTTGGTGGTCTTCTGCAGAGTCAACCTGTCCCTGAGAGCGTTTCTTTTTCGGACCCTTTAAACGAGGGCAGGGTAAAGACTCCCCGGCTCCGAAGGCCTTTGTTGGGTCTCTGATGGCTGTACTCCTCATGCTGTTCTGTGGGGCAGGCCCAGCAGGAGGGGGCAGGTCCATTTTATAAGTTAGAGGCCAAGTCCCAGGCCTGCGCCTCTCAGCTACGTGGCCTCCTCCACGCTCCCTGGTCTCCTGATGGGAAAAGATCAGAGCAGATCTGGCCCCCTCTGCCCCTCACTGTCCTGCCTCCATCCTCAACAAGAGCATCACTACTGTGAATTCTCAGAGGCTGGGCCAGAAGTAGGGCCTGAACGACCACCGAGGTCCCTCAGATCAGTGTCACGTGGACAGAAGTCAGAGCAGCACGGGAGGAGAAAGGGGTGGGGCGGGGGCGGGGCACCGCTGACTGGCCAATAGCACCCAGACTTCAGAAACACTGCTGAAAGTGGGGTTGGCTCGGCTTTACAACAAACAACAGAAATCCAGTTGCTATTCCGGAACTGGATTGGCTGAAGGGTGGCCCCAGGAAAGACCCTACATTCTAGAAGTGATTCACCGTGAAGTGATAAATCACCAAAGTTTCCGAAATTCCGACCAAGTGGCGGAACAGTGAGTTCCAGGCATTTAGTGTTTCCAGGCTGCTGATAGGTGAGCAAACTGCAGACTCCAGCAAACTTGAACGCCGCATCACCAGAGCAGGGCGGTCAGGCACTGGGTGCTGCAGGTCGGCAGGCTGCACTGAGACCACCAGCCATCAGCCACAGCACCTGCAGCACGCGAACTCCCACCTCCCTCGTCTTCCTCTCCAGCTGAAGGTGTCAACGCAAGTCAAGAATCCTATAATGTCATGGCCAGCAGAAGTGGAGGAACATGCGTAGGAAAAATCCAGCATTTTCCAATTAAGTGACTGAGACCCAGACATGGAAGGTGGCTGGTTCAAGGGCACAAAGCCCCGCAGGCCCCGCAGCCAGCCCTGCTCCCGAGTCCCCTGCAGTGTGGAAGGGCCAGGAGGACGGTAACTCTGGGGGAAAACCGAGCTAAAGCAAAACCAGAGTGCTGAGACACAGACACCCTTCAGTTAGGTTTAAATAGGTAATTAAAAACAGGGTTTTCTTTCAAGAAACTAAGCCTTTCCCACTGGGCTTTACTTTAAAAAAATGTTTTTGTAGCTTTTATTTTGAAATAATTATAGCCTCCTAGGCAGTTGCATAACGGCGGATGGGGTGGTCCCATGTACCCATCACCCAGATTCTCCCATCGGGGACTTTGCGTGTGACCACAGTACAGTGCCACAGCCAGGAAACTGCCCTTGCGACCGTCCACAGAGCTCACTCACACTTGTACCGTGTGCACAGCTTTGTGTAATTTTATGTCCCAGGCAGATCCCGTGTCCATCACCGCAGTCCAGATGCAGGACAGTCCCATCACCACCAGGCTTCCCCACGCTTCCCTCCCTGGCCACACCCACTCACCTGCCCAGGTGACATTTTTAAAAGTGCGCTCAGAGCCATAAAGAATGTTTAGCCCTGTAGGCCACGGAGGCGGGGCACCAGGCAGTTTTCTCTTCATGGGTGAGGAAACTGAGAGCTGGGGGTTTGACCCACAGCCCCACAGAACAGAGGCCAGGGCCTGCTCCCACCTGCCAGCAGTGCCACACCTGTGCTTGAGAGTGGACTTGGCCCAAGCTCCGGATGGTGCCGGGGAAAACCCACCCGGCTGCTCCACTTGCTTCTGGGGCTCTGACCCAGCAAGGAACCCACTGACCCAAAACCCCGGCCGGGCCCTGCAGCCAGAGCCCAGCGGCGGCAGCGCACGCACCTTTCACGCCGTATCTCATCACCGCGGTGAGCTGGGCCTTCGTTCGGCCGTCGGCTCCCAGCTGCAGCATCCCCAGGACGGAGGCGATCCCGTGCGGGGACACCACGATGTTCTCCTGAGGCCGGGACTTGGCGATCTGGCTGAACACCTGGATTCCTATGTCGGAGCCTAGTTCCTCCAGAGGCTGAGGGTTGAACTGGAGGCACACGGAGGGCAACGTCACTGTGACCACGAGCACGAAGGGGAAATGCCAAGACATGGTTCCTGCTGGCAAGGCCACCCTGGAAACCAGAGGAAAAAGAACATTTGAACTCTGCTTAAATGCACACTTTGGGGACTACTTTTTACTCAGCCAGGTATGATTTACTGTATACTCCATGTAACTGAATACCATCTTGACACACTGAAGACAGAACAACATAGATTAAATCGGTTTTGACCATATGTTGTTAGGGGGACGAGGAGGGAGAGGAAGGGAACTTCCGCTTTGTAAGTCCCAGTGATGTGCCAGACACTATTCTAATTGTTACTTGTTACTCAAAACCACCATTCACTCAATTAAACCAACACTTACTGAGGGCCTACTGTGTGTTAGGCCCTTGTCTAAGGGCTGGGCATTCAACTGCAACAAAGGTAGTCAGACCCCTGGCCTCCTGCAGTTTCCATTCTAGAGGGAGGCAGAGAATATTGAGCAAACCAGGAAGCAGTGAAGTGGCTTCGGAGGGGGACCAGGGTCAGCACAATGACACAGTGATGCCAGCGGAATACAAGACGGGGCTGTTGTCGGGGAAGCCACCTCTGCTGGGGGAGCAACACGGGGAGAGTTACAAGGATGAGAAGCAGACCCGGCAATGAGGGTTTGGAAGGGCAGGCAGACGGACGGCAGGGCAGAGGCCCCGAGGCAGGAACAAGCCTGGCGTTAGAGGTTGGGTGGCTGTGACTTAAGGAACCCGGATGAGGTGAAAAGGAGGAGAGGCTGGATCCTGAAGGGCCCGAGAGCCTGGTGTGGCTCCTGGATTTCATCCTGAGGGGGAAACCACTCACGTTGCTACGACTGTTTTATAACTGTGCACCGTATACTTGTTTTTTTCACATGAACATATTCCTTTCGTAAAGAATCGTTAATTACAATACATTTAAGTGACACCCTTAAATCTATGATGGGCAGAAAATTGGTAAATGTATCAATTGTGAGGATGGCACGGTTTACCCTGATATGCTTGATTACAATTACAGTGGTTTTTAAAAAATGTGCTTTCTTCCTTGAGCTCTATTGGAAATGTACATGTGTTTATGAAAAAGCAAATACTGTCATTGAATAAGGACCTAAAAGTGGCAGCAGTGAAACAAAAGCAGAATTTGTGATGTGGCCAATTGGGTTCCTGCCTTCTAGATTTAGCTCCTGCCAAGCACGTCTCCCACGGGCGAGGTTGGGAGTGTCTGCAGAGAAGAAGAAAGAGGGGATCTTCTGGGGCTAGGTGCTCCAGGGAAAAGCAACGGCACTGGGCCCATCAGCAGATGAGCAGATAAAGAGCTGTGGTATGCAAACACAACGGAATATTACTCGGCCATAAAAAGGAAGGAAATCTTACTTTTTACAACAGCACAGGTGGACCTGGAGCAGCAATTTTCAACCGTTGTGCCACAAGACTTTTTAAAACATTCAATACTTTACTTTTTAGTCAGGAGCACTGACCTCTTTTCCCTTAGATTGTCAAGAAAAGTGGTAACAGCCAACACAGCAATAGCCATCCAGTGTGAATCAATCAAAATTATACCTTTTTCTTGTGTGATCAGCAAAAACTACATTTTTTGGTGCCCTGTAGGATTTTGGTCATTAGCACGTGCCGTGAGATGGGAAAGGTTGAAAATCATTCATCTAGAGGATACGATGCTAAGTGAAATAAGTCAGACAGAGAAAGACAAACACCATGTGCTTTCACTTATACGTGGAATCTAAAGAACAAAGTAAACACAAACAGACTCACAGACACAGAGGACAGACTGACAGTTGCCAGAGGGGAGGGAGGCTGGAGGGCCGGATGAAACAGATGAAGGGATGGAGAAGTACGAATTGGTAGTCAGAGAACAGTCATAGAGATGTAAATTATCACAGAGGAAATACAGTTAATGATGCTGTAATAATTATGTATGGGGCCAGGAAGTAGTGGGGCGGGGAGAGCACTCCGTAAGGTACATGATTTTCTTACCATCATGCTGTACATCTGAAACTAATGCAGAGTCAATGCTGATGGTAAACTGTGATAGAAAATGAAGTGAGCAGGACTTTAGAGATTAAAAAAGAAAAAAAGAAGAAAGAAAGGGCACCGGGGCAGCATCAGGCAAAACTGGCATTTGGTGCTTCCTCACCTTTCTGTCTATTCACTTATTTCCTGTCACCCCAGACCAGAACATAGTAGGTGTTCAATAAATACATGTGGAATTAAACCTGAGGGCTTATCTACGTCCTATTTTTGCTAATTATTTTTCATTGCCATTAGAATTACATTTGTGAGTGTGACTAGGAAAATGTTTGCGTTGAGCCCCGAGCCCCACTGTTCACCCCAAACACTTCCCAAGGAGGGGGACATTGGCTGGGGTGGGAGGAGGGCTGGCGGTGAGAGGTCCCCACTCACCACACCCCCATGCACAGGGCCGCAAGGTGAACCACCAGGCCAGCAGGCATTCCAGGTGAGCTTGCAATTTTTTTTACATTTTGTGAAACAAGCATATTAAAAAAAATACAGAGCATTCAGAGTTTCTCTGGAGCCTCACAGTCAAAGAATTGTGCAAAGGCAGCCGTCTAAATTCAGAACAGGTGAGTGAACTGCATGTGCTCCTGCTGGGGGCTCTCACAGGGCCAGCGTGGCCTATTTTGACTTTGGCACCTGGGACCAGCCACAATACCCTGACAGTCCCTTGCATTTCTTTCAGCCTGTTGGACTCTGGAGAGTTTCCAAATCTTGATAATGGAAGCTTCACTCATTTTATCTAAAAAGTAGACATTGTGTCCATCTTCCCTCCCTCCCTCCCTCTTTCTTCTTCTTTTTTTTTTTGGAGAGAAATGTATTCTTTAAAATGAAATATACCCAAAAGCCACTAGAAGTCTAAAACAATTTGTACAATCTTTGTTACACATGGTCAAATCCGGTGACTGGCGCGAACTTCATCAATCTGAACTGGCCCTTCCTTGCATCACAGTCCCCTCGGTCCCCCACCTTCGGCACGCCATAGGTGTCATCTGTACCCTGGAGCCTTTATGGGAACTCCTCCAGGATTAGCAAGTACTTGAATGAATATTCAAATCTGCACACTCATAAAAGACATCCAATTGGTTTTGCCTCTTATGGCTGACGCACCTCAATGTTATAGATTTATGTAGAAGGTGGTAAAACAAGTATTAAGGATCAGGAACAGACAAAAATGTAACAGCTCCAATATCTTAAAGTCAGCAAAGACAATCTGAATAAATAGCCATCTTTCTTCTGAATAAACAGCCATCTTATTTAGCAGAATTTTACCCAGTTGGGAAGTTTGGCTGAAAGAACAGTTCCATTATGATAGCAGGGGAAGGCAGCCACGGGTGTTTTCCTTGGTTTCTTGGGTTTGGGGAGTTTGAGGGAGCTGCCTGAGTGCAGCTTCATAATCGTGCATCGGGACAGTGTCGGAGCTGTGCGAGACTTGGACTCAGAGCTGGTTTTGATTGATGTTCTGGGCACAGCTTCTCCTTGGACTCAGTTTCCTAGGCTAAATGCTCACTCGTCTGAACTCACCTGGCTTGTGTACACATCAAAGACCATGCTTTTACTTTGCTCCAAAGTCCCGTAGCCAGGAGAGTGGATACTGATGCACAATTACTCCAGGCCTATAAAATTCCTAATACAGAGGCACATGCGTGTTCATACACACAGTCTTTTGCATAGAATGACTGTTGGTGCTATCAGGCTTTGAAACGCTTCGTCTCTACAGGACAAGCAGCTTCTCAGTATGGGAAGAACAGAGTAACATCCTGTTTATTTTTCAAAGAAATTATACTTTGAACTTTCAAATAAGAGAGAAAGAATAAAGACGTTGCCCAATCGTATTGCACAGCAGCAATGTGTTTCCATGTCTTGAATAATTTGTTCATAACAGTAAAAAAAAAAACAAAACAGATTCTAGCTTAAGCCATCATGGAGGAAGATCATAAACCTAAATAAATAAAGCCATCATTACAGGCGTATCCTTCCAAATGTGGGTTTCTTTTCCCCCCACAAACTTCTAGCTTCTCTTGCTCCAAACCCTTCCTTCTCAGTGTGGAAAAAGTGCTGGAAGTGACTGGGCACTACTTGGAGCTTTAAGTGAGCTTTAGAGTAGTGAGTCACTGCTGGTAGTTTTGTGAATGCCAGACACAGAGTGCATCCCTGTATTTATAAACGTACCACTTGCCAATGGCAGGGAGAGGGCACACTCTTCACAGTCTTCCCACCCTGCCCTCCCCCGACCTCAGTTGGTCACTGCTCCACAGGCAAACCTGTAGCTCAAATCCTCAGCTGAATGTCAATGCCATACTTCCAGCTGTCGGCTGCATATTTTCACCTGATGGTTCAGAACACTGTCTTGGCCTAGGAAACGCTAATCTGTGAAATCTACCAACTCTCCTCCTGCAGGGGTGTCCAACCTTTTGGCGTCTCTGTGCCACACTGGAAGGAGGAGAGCTGTCTTGGGCCATGCAGTAAATACACAAATACCAATGAAAAATGATGAGCAAAAAAAAAAAAAAAGGTTTTAAGTAAATTTACGATTTGTGTTGGGCCACATTCATGGCCAACCTGGGCTGCATGTGGCCTGTGGGGCCGCTGGTTGGACCCCCTGCAGGGTGGCATTTCCTGTTGCTAGTCCTTGGTCTTGGCCTTAACCTAGGCTTTGCTTCTCTCCCTTACCCCTCACCTACCAAACACCAGAGCTTCCCTCAGCTCTTTCCACAGCTATGGGAAGCTTTCCCTGGGAAGCTTTCCCTGATGGTCCCTGATAGGGCTATTCCCTTCCTTCTCTGCATTCCCGTAGCATTTCCCACCTGTACCTCTCATTTTGTGTTACAAGTATTTTTCTCCCTCCCTACTAGACTGAAAGCTCATGGCAACCAAGGGAGTTTGGAATCCTGGTGCCCACAGGGTCTTCTTTGGGGACCCACCACTGGGACATGCTAAAGCAGAGGTTGACCCATGGGACCAATCCAGCTGCTCAAGATGTTTGGTTTAGAATACAAGGCATTATAAAAATATTCAAGCAATGAAAAGTT